GGTACCGGCTTTCTGAGCTGCAATCAGAAATGAAGCCTACCTTGAGTAGCCTATAGCAACTACCCTTTTTGCCAACAACACCGTATATTCACCAACAAGCACGAGCAAAACACAAAAAACGAAAACAAGAATTGAAAAGAGAAAAAAACAATCCAAGAAAGAGTCATACTGTTTACAGTTGAAAATAGAACTAACGTTTAAATTTAGATGATCCTCATTATATTCCGCAAGGGGGGAAAAAAGTTGCGCATCTAAAACCGAATCTATATAAAATTATCCGAAAGAGAAATAAGAAGAAGACATCCTGAAAAGCATAATATTTGTCCCACACAAACTAAATCACAAAGCTAAATTTTAAGTATTTATAAAAAAAAATTCGAAACAACTTATAACATTTACATTTAAACCAAAACATTTTGTATCTGTTTCAAATAAATTTTATTTGGTTCAAATAAACTCTCCGGCTGTGAAATCCGATTCTAGCATGGATATTCTATCTAAATTTCATGGACCAAATGAATCAAAAAATTAAAATAGATTATAGCATAAGATTAGATGAATTAACGCACCCTCTAACAGAATATACTTTTTAATTTTTTGTTATTTTTTGTTATTCTTTTATGACTATTTTTTTCATTGTTTTCTAAAATTATTTTTCACACTATTAAAACCTAAACACAATATTTCTACAATGGAACGAATCAGACGAACAAACCACGATTCTATATAAGAAAATAATACAATGTTTCTGAAACTATATTCACATACAGAAATCATTCCTCTCTTTCTAATGCTGAAGGAAAAAAAATAAGTGATTACAATTCATTTGTTTTCAAAACTGTTTTTCTCTCAAGATTCTTATGGCGATTAACGCTTGAATCATCCTTTTTTGAATGCATATTATTATTTCAAACCAATAAATTATCATATAAAGAAGAGAAAAAATGTTATTTACAACAAAGTAATTTTCGTATCCCTTGATAATAAATTACGTCATTAATTAATACATTTCCGTATAGTAGAACAAAAATAAAAAAAAATTCTTTTCACGATTCAACTGGATTTTGGGAAATAATTTTAATTTTAATAAAATTTTTTGCAGAAATTCAATTATGGTCAAAAGTTTCAAAAAAATTATCGTCAAAATTTCAATTATCTTTATAAATATTAAAATTTTTCTCCAAAATTCAATTATTTTCAAAAATGACAATAAAATTCTTGTCAAAATTTCAATTATTTTCAAAAATTCTCCTCCATTCAATGCTTTTCAATATCTACTGTTTTAATAAATTTTTCCACAAGAAATGAATTATTTAAAAAATTTTTTGATAAAATTCTAATCAAACCTTTTATTATTTTTATAAATAACAAATATTTCACAACAATTTAATTATTTACAAATTTTTTATAAATTTCTTTGCAATAATATTCTATTATTTTCAAAAATTTTCAATTTATTTTTACAGAGATTCAATTATTTTTATAAATATCTAATACAATTTTTTACACCCGGATTCAATTATTATTTTCATAAATAATAAAACTCATTGCAGAATTTCAATTATTTTTGATACAATTTTAATCGAATTCCTCGAAAAATGTAATTACATTTTATATTCTTAAAAGTTTTATTAAAATTCGTCAAAAGAATTCAATTATTTAAAAATTTGTTCATAAAATTCTTTATGAGAATTCAATTTTCAGAAACATTCCATTATTTAATAAATTATTTATTTTCGTATGAATAATAATTAGGTATTAAAAAAGAAATATTATTAAAAAATTCGTCTCAAGAATTTAATTATTTTCAAAAGTAATAAAATTCTTCGCAGAAATTCAATTATGATCTAAAATTTAAAAAATTTATTGTCTAATTTTCAATTTTTTTTAAAAATATTAAATTTTTTTCAAAATTCAATTATTTTTTAAAATTTTAATAATATTCTTGGCAATATTTCAATTATTTTCAAGAATTGTAATAAAATTCTTGGCAAAATTTTCAATTATTTTCAAAAACTTTTCTCAATTCAATCAAATTTTTTTACAGAGTTTCAATTATTTTTAATACAATTTTAATATAATTTCTCGAAAAATGTAATTATTCTTAAATTTTATTAAAATTCGTCAAAAGAATTTAATTATTTAAACATTTGATCATAAAATTCTTTATGTTCAATTTTGAGAAACATTCAATTATTTAATAAATTATTTATTTTTGCATTAACAATAATTTGGAATTTAAAAATTAATATTATTAAAAAATTCGTCTCAAGAATTTAATTATTTTCAAAAGTAATAAAATTCTTCGCAGAAATTCAATTATAATCAAAAGTTCAAAAAATTTATTGTCAAAATTTCAATTATTGTTATAAATATTAAATTTTTTTTCAAAATTCAATTATTTTTCAAAATTTTAATAATATTCTTGGCAATATTTCAATTATTTTCAAAAATTGTAATAAAATTCTTGGCAAAATTTTCAATTATTTTCAAAAACTTTTCTCAATTCAATCAAATTTTTTACAGAGATTCAATTATTTTTAATACAATTTTAATATAATTTCTCAAAAAATATAATTATTCTTAAATTTTATTAAAATTCGTCAAAAGAATTCAATTATTTAAAAATTTGTTCATAAAATTCTTTATGAGAATTCAATTTTCAGAAACATTCAATTATTTAAAAAAATAATTTATTTTTGCATTAAAAATAATTTGGAATTTAAAAAGAAATATTATTAAAAAAATTTGTCTCAAGAATTCAATTATTTTCAAAAGTAATAAAATTCTTTGCAGAAATTCAATTATTTTTAAAAATTTTATTAATAATCATTGCAATATTTCAATTATTTTAAAAAATTGTAATAAAATTCTTGGTAAAATTTCAATTTTTTCAAAAACTTTTCTTAATTCAATCAAATTTTTTACAGAGATTCAATTCTTAAAAATTTTTATTGAAATTTGAATTTTTCATACTTTTAACTTAAAATTTGTAAAAGTTCAATTGAATTTTTTTTAAGTATTTTGAAGTTTTTATTTTCTAATAATAATATATATTTGATTCAAGAATTTCCGAATAATCGATGAAATTTCGTAAAATTTAATTGTAAACAAAAAGATTTTAAAATGTTAAAAAAAATGTTTCAAAAATTATTAAAATAATTAATTTACACTTTATAAAAAAGAATTTTAGTTAAAAATTCTGGAAAACAATAATTGAATTGAAATGATGATGAAAGTAATTTTTAATTATTATAAAACATAAAGAAATCGATAGCTCCGAGTCGAAGACTCGGAGTGATCGATTTCTTTATGTTTTATAACAATTTTTTTATAAGTTGTTTAATTTCAAAAAGGTTTTGAATTAAAAATTTTGTAAAATATAAATGTAGTTTTAAAAACCTGGAATTTATTTGTGTTAAAAACAATTTATTTGTTTTAAAGAAATTTTCCTTGTTTCAAATAATTATTTTCTTTTTAAATTGAAGAATTATTTCTTTAACTCTAAATCAATTTATTTAAATTAAATAAAATTTATTTATAATTCAAAATTACTTTTCTGTTTCAAATAAATTTTCCTGATTTCAAAGAAATTTTCCTAATTTCAAAGAAATTTCTCTTTTTGAATTATATAATTATTCCTTTGACCCTGTATCAATTTCTTTCATTCAAAAAAAATGTATTTAATTCAGTTATTCATAGAAAATTTTATTTAAAAAAAAAATTTTATTTTATTCAAAAAACTATTTATTTATTCATTGAAATTTTCCTTTTAAATTAGAAAATTATTTCTTTGATCCTATATTAATGATAAAACTTATTTAATTCAAAGAAAATTTATTTAATTCAAAGAAAAATTGATTTAATTCAAAGAAAAATTGATTTATTCAAAGAAAATTTATAATATTCAAAAAATTATTTTTTTTTAATGAAATTTTCCTTTTTAAATTAAAGAATGATTTTTTTTGATTCTATATTAATGATAAAATTTATTTGATTCAAAAAAAATTTATTTCATTTTTTTGAAATGAATTTTCCTACATTTAAAAAAAATGTTCCTTTTTAAATTAAATAATTATTTTTTTCATCCTGTATCAATGATAAAATTTCTCTGATTCAAGGAAAATTTATTTCTATCAAAGAAATTTTATTTCATTAAAAAATTGTATTTTATTCAAAACACTTTATTTGTTTCAAAGATAATTTTCCTTTTTAAATTAAAGAATCATTTCTTTGACGCTATATATAAATGATAAGCTCTCTTTGATTTAAAGAACAAATTTCTTTGATTTAAAGAAAATTTTTTGTTTAAATAAAAAAAAAATTTTTTTTAATGAAAAAACACCTTTTTGATTGAAAGAAAAATTTATTTCGAATCAAACAAAAAGAGTCAAAGAAACTGATTTTTTTTAAATTAACCAAAAATTTTTTTCCGAATCTAAAGAAACATATCGCTGTTCCAATTAAAGATTTTTTTTCCCAAGAGGTTAAAAAAATTCAATCTGGTGAATTAAACCATATATTTAATAAAAAATTCGAATTTCTTGCTCCGTTTAAGAAATTCTATAAGACCCATACATCACGCACCTAAAGAATATCCTTCGGGAATACAACAAGAATCCGAGGATGAATCAATTTTTCCATCATTCAACCATTATATTTAAATTCCAATTATAATTATGCATAAAAAATTTACATTTATATAACTTCTTAATGGCTTTTCATCTCTTTGATATAATTCAAAAAAAAAAAAAAATAAAAAAAAAAAAAGATTAAAGGATTACATTTGTATTTTATAACACAACAACAAATGATGAATAAAAATACTTTGAAGAAAATAAAAGATTAGGTGGTGAATAAAGAGTGGATTTCGAGTATCGTGCATCCCTTTTCTTCGAAGATGGCATTATCATTTGTTATCTTCCTCTAGGCTATGCAGTGAATCATCTTCACCAATCCCCCTCTCTGTAGGGTCTGGGCAGAAGACTCTTAAGGGGGCCCTCGACGCGGCGCGAGGCCAGTTCGAGAACGCGACCCTAACATTAACATCCGGTAATTCGAGACGGAAACGGAAACGAATTAACTCGATTACGTACAAATACAAAACAAAAAAAAAAACAAAAAAATACAAATAAAAATCAAAACAAAAAAAAATAATAATTATGAAGATCGTCTTGCTGCTCATTGCTGCTGCGGCCTTTGCCTCAGGTTGGTGCTACGTTCGTTTTTTCGGTCCAGTTTTATCTTTTATATTTATAAATTCAGAACATTGTGATGTTTTCAACTCTTCATCATCAGCACAAGTGTTATTGCAAAATTGAATCTAAACAGTGCTTTCTTTGTCAAAGAAATTATTTTTCCCTTTCTTTTTTAAGAGATAATTTTTTTTCTAAGCAAGTGTCGTTGTTAATTTTCTCCTACTCTTTTTGTCTTCAGTTTCAGAAATAATCACAATAGTAAAACTAGAATAAATGAAAATTAAACGTAATTTTAGAGTTGAGGAAAAAACGAATAAAGTAACTTTTACAATGATATACTTAAAATCGAGTCAGTTTTTTTCCGCATTTTTGCATTAATTTTTACAATTTTTTTAGAAGTAAATTTTACTATTTTCTTAGAAGTAAATTTTACTCCTTTCTTACAAGTAACTTCCGCTGTTGTCTTGAAAGTAAATTTTGTACTATTTTCATCCAAAAACAAATTTTACTATTTTTTTAAAAGTAAATTTTACTGCTTTTTTGGTAGTAAATTTTAATATTTTCTTTGTAGTAAATTTTACTATTGTGTCAAAATTAAATTCTATTTTCTTTAAAAAAAATTTTACAACTTTCATAGTAGTAAATTTTACAATTTTCTTGGAGGTAAATTTTACTATTTTCTTAGAGGTAAATTTTCCTATTTTCTTAGAAGGAAATTTTTGTATTTTCTTACAAAAGAATTTTACTATTTTCTTAGAAGTAAATTTTGGTATTTTCTTACAAAAGAATTTTACTATTTTCTTAGAAGTAAATTTTGGTATTTTCTTATAAAAGAATTTTACTATTTTCTTAGAAGTAAATTTCACTACTTTCATAGAAGTAAATTTGGACTATTTTCAAATAAGTTACTTTTACTATTTAGTATTTACTGTAGAAATAATTTTACAATTTCGAAATAAGTAATTATAGCAATTTTTTAGAAGCAAATTTTACTATTTTCTTAGGAGAAAATTCTACAATTTTTTTAAAAGTAAATTTCATTACATTCTTCGAAGTAAATTCTATTATTTTTCTCAGAAGTAAATTTTACTATTTCCAAATAACTAATTTTTACTATTTTCTAAAGAATTAAATTTTACTCATTTCTCAGAAGCGAAATTCTCCTATTTTGTTTAGAAGTAAATTTTATGTTTTTTTAGAAGTAAATTTTACTATTTTTTTAGAAGTAAATTCTAGTATTTTCTTAGAAATAAATTTTACTATTTTCTTGGAACCAAACTTTAAAAATTTCTTAACAAGAAATTTTACTATTTCTAAATAAGTTTTTTTTTACTATTTACAGTAGAAATAAAATTTACTATTTCCAAATAAGTAATTTTTACCATTTTCTATAGAAATAATTTTTACTATTTTCTCAGAAGTAAATTATTCTATTTTCTTCTGTGTAATTCTGTACTATTTTCTTAGGATTAAATTTCTTCTATTTTTTTGGAAATAAATTCTACAATTTTTCTCAGAAGTAAATTTTACTGTTTTCTTAAATGTAAATTTCACTATTTTCAAATAAGTAGGTAATTTTTACTACTAACCATAAAAATAAGTTTTACTATTCTCTAAAAAGTAAATTTTACTATTTTCTTTAGAAATAATTTTTACTATTTTCTTTAGAAATAAATTTTACTCTTTTATTTAGAAATAAATTCTACAATTTTCTTCAGGAATCAATTTCATTATTTTCATTAGAAATAAATTTTACTATTTTCTCATGAGTAAAATTTTCTATTAGTGATAGTAATGCAGTAAATTCTGTACTATTTGCTTAGAAGTACAAATTCTACTATTTTCTTCGAAGTAAATTTTACTATTTTCGAATAAATAAATTTTTGGCAAAAAAAATAGTAAAATATACTTTTAAAGTCTCAAAATTTACTGTAAAAATATAGTAAAAATTCACAAAAATTCCGTACAGTTTAGATTTTACTTCGTAAGTGGTAAAAGTTGCTCTGTATTTTTTTCCTTGCTTCCCAGTGGTAGAAGAATAAAAATAGCTTCTTGCTTCTAAATTGGTTTTTCAATTTTCAAAAACTCACTTCAGAAGAAATTTTATTTTGAATCATAAAAATTCTTATGTAGATTGAAAGTAAAAACTACTTTAAAATTTTTTTTTTATTTATAAGAAAAATATGGGACATTACTAAATAATGTCCCAAAATTTAATAAATGATAAAAATATTAAAAAAAAATTTTTTTCACTCATTTTGTATAATTTATTTCACTTTATAGCAATTTTTACTACTGAAAAAATAAAATGTAAACTATTTGCTGAAATTTTTGTATATTTCTCATAATTTTTACCATAAATGCCAAATAAATAACTTTTTAAAAAATAAATACAGTCTATAAGATTTACTTATTCGAAAATAGTTTAATTTTTTTTTTTAAATAATTAGAAAAAATAGAAAAAATGATACAAAATTCTTTAAGTATAAAAAATTTGTTTTTTACTATAAAAATAGTCAAACTTCTTTACATTTCTGACAATTTTTACTATACATCCAAAATAAATATTTCTTTATAAATTATTATACTGGGAAAAATTCACTCACTCAAAAGTAGTAAAAGTTTACTTAGAAAATAGTTAAACTTACTCCGAAAATAGGAAAAATTTACAGAATTTGAAAGTTTTACTATAAAAGTTGTAAAAATAAAATTTTTGTACATTTTTGACAATTTGTACTATACGTTGAAAAATAAATACTATTTAGAAATAAATACTCTCAGAAAAATTTAATTTTTCAAAAATAGTAAAATTTATTCCGAAAATAGCAAAAATTTACAGAAATTGCAGTTTTTACTACAAGAATAGTACAAATTTTTGTATATATCTGCCAATTTTTACTATAACGTTTAAAATAAATAGTATTTAGAAATAAATGTTTTCTGAAAAATTTACTTTAATTTAATTTAATTTACTAAAATTTACTTCGAAAATAGTAAAACTTAACAAATATTGCAGTTTTTACTACAAGAATAGTACAAATTTTTGTACACTTCTGACAATTTGTACAATACGTCCAAAATAAATACTTATTTAGAAATAAATATTTACTTAGAATGTAGAAATAAATATACTCCGAAAAAATATTTTTTCGGAAATAGTAAAATTTACTTAATCAAAAATAGTAACATTTACTCAAAAAATAGCGAAAATTGACAAAAATTCTAATTTTTACTACAAAAATAATAAAATTTACCATGTGAAAGTAGTAAAAAGTCCCATTAATCGTTTTTTCCGAAAACAAAAATTTTGTTCTACAATTTCTTTTTTCTTTACAATTTTTCTTTTTACAAGTAAATTGTACGAGTAAATGAACTTTAGTACAGGACAAAAATAAATTTTAAATATTTATAAAAAAAAAGAAAAAAAAATTCGAAACAACTTAAAATTTACATACAACTCATCTTAATCATCTCAACAAAGAAAATTGAAGAAAAATGAGAATGTAAAAAAAGAACCTTTTTGTACTTATTATTAATGCCATAAATTTCAATCGAAAATTGAAGGCTAGTGATGAAGAACTAAAATTAAAATTTTAAATCCTTAAAAAGATATGTATCTATTTAAATCAGGTGTCTATATATAAGTAGCATCACTTAAAAGATTGAAAATTAGCAATGTAATCGTTTTGAAAGGGTCTTTCTTTAATTAACTTTAAACTGGAGTTGTTTGTAAATTTTTTTGTTCCTCATTTTTTTTTTCTTTTTTGTTTGCTGCACCTTCGTCAAAGATCTTTTGACACAAACACACACATATATGATCATGATTCAAAAGGCAAGCACTGTATTGAAGAGAAGTCTATAGTTAAAGCACTAAGTCGCATCGCGGCCAACACTGGCAGACGTCTCAAGGTCTTCAGGTCGTTTACCACCTGCACTGCCAGTTTCAAGATCTAAAAATTTTTTTCCCCTCGAGGCATAATACTCTCCACGAAACACACCCCTGGGAAATCTTACCCCACACACTCGTCTAATTATTTGCTTTCAAAGCTTTAAAGTCTCTTTCTCTCTCTCTCTCACTCACTCACTCGTTTCTCTAAAGATAATAGGCTTGGCTGCACTTAAAATTTATGCGGTGGCAGTTAAATTCCCGAGGAAAGTCCTGATAGCTAGTTTCTATCTTTAAAACCCCTTTGCACTTAAATTATAAATTTATTCAAAGTCTCACTGTATAATATTTTTGCCCTTGAGCGATATTTACACAAATATTCCCTCAAGGTGCGATTTAAAAAATTTTTAATCCCCATGAATATATATTTCAGACTAATCGGATTTTCAGTCTTTGACATTCTGTAGTTTGTAGTAAATTCTATTTCCTATTTTATATTCTATTCTATATTCTGTTTCCTATTCTATTTTCTATTCTATATTCTATTCTATATTCTGTTTCCTATTCTAATTTCTATTCTATATTCTGTTTCCTATTCTATTTTCTATTCCATATTCTATTCTATATTATTCTGTTTCCTATTCTATTTTCTATTCCATATTCTATTCTATATTCTGTTTCCTATTCTAATTACTATTCTATATTCTGTTTCCTATTCGATTTTCTATTCTATATTCTGTCTCCTATTTCAGGCATGCCACAAAAAATTAATTTTTGTTTTTCCCTGACTTTTCCCTAATTTTCCAGACAAAATTTTGACTTTTTCCCTGATCCTAAAAAATATTCTGATTCACTCTCAAAATTATTAGATACTCAAAAAAAATGTTCTATTACATTTATTTACAAATTTCTTAAAAAGTAAAATTATTCCAAAACTAAATAAATAAAATAAAATATAATTAAATATTTTAAAAAAATATTTAATAATTACTATTTTTCCATAAGAAATAAGATTTTAAAGAATTTAATTTTAAACCTTTTGTAATTCCAATAACTTTTAAGAACATAATTTTAAAACATGAAGATATTGATCACTCCGAGTCTTCGTCTATCTTCATGTTTTATAATTTAAATTTCCATAACATTTTTCGAAAAAAAAATATTATTTACAAAAATTTTAATAAAATCCTCGCAAGAATTCATTTATTTTTATAAGTAATACAATTTTTCCCATCAATTCAATTATTTTAAAAAAAGGAATAAAATTCGTTGTAAAAATTAAATTATTATCATAAATAATAAAATTTTTCCCAGAAGTTAAATTATTTTTAATAAAAGTTATTTTCAAGAATTCAATTGAATTTCACAAATAATGAAATTCTTCGCTGACATTCAAATATTTTCTAAATCTATTATTTTAATAACATTTCTTAAAAGAATTTAATTATTTAAAAAATTGTAATAAAATTCGTTGCATGAATTTAATTATTTTCATATTTAATAACATTTCTGAAAAGAATTCAGTTATTTTTAAAAAAATGTAATAAAATTCGTTGCAAGAATTCAATTATTTTTATAATAAATAATAATATTCTTCACAGGATTTCAATTATTTAAAAAAAAAATTAATAAAAATTCGTTGTAAGACCTCAAATATTTTCCAAAATAATAAAATTCTTTACAGGAATTTCAATTATTTTTAAAAATTTTATTAAAATTGCTCGTAAGAAATAAATGAACAATTATCAATTATTTTTAATAATTTTTGCAAAAGTTTCTAGAAAATTTTGAATTCAATTTGTTTACAATTATTCAATTTTACAAAATTACGATTTCACGGAAATTCTACAATTCAATATTTAGAAAATAAAGCTTGAAATAATTTCAAAAAAAAATTTAAATTAATTTTTTCAAAATACAATTATTTCTAAAAATTCATGCTATAATGATTTTAATATTCAATTATTATTAAAAATTTTAACTGAAATTCATTTTTAAAATTTTTAGTAAATTCTAAGAGAATTCAATTATTTAAGTAAAAAAAAATTATTGAATAAATGAATATTTCTCAAAATTGAATTCTCGTTAAGAATTTTGTCAACAAATTTTTAAATAATTGAATTTTTTCAACGAATTTTAATAAAATTTTCAAGAATAATTACATTTTTCGAGGAATTCGGTTAAAAATTTATTAAAAATGATTGAAATTCTATGAGGAGTTTTATTATTCATGAAAATAATTGAATCTCTGTAAAAAATGTTATTATTTATGAAAATAATTGAATTATTGCGAAGAAATTTATAAAAAAAATTTGTAAATAGTTGAATTCCTGTGAAATTTTTATTATTTATAAAAATAATTGAATTTTGGAGAAGAATTTTATTATTTTTAAAGATAATTGAAATTTTGACAAGAATTTAAAAAAATTTTTGAACATAATTGAATTTCTGCAAACATTTGTAATTTCTCTAAAATTCAATTTTGTTTTGTGTTTTTAACTAAAATTTTTCTAAAAATTCATGATTTTTAATCATGATTGTTAATAATAATTAATTAAATATGTATATTAAAAAATTAAATAAAACTAATTATGAATCTTGCAAATTTTTTTCCAGTACTTTTAATAAAAATCCCTGACTTTTCTCTGATTTCCCTGACCAATTTTACTTTTCCTGACTTTTCCCTGAATTCCCTAATTTCCCTGACCTGTGGCAACCCTGTATTTTTTATTCTATATATATAATCATATTCTATATTCTATTCCATACACCCAAAGAAAATGTATATTTGGCTCAGAACCAACTAGACTTTTTATTTGTTTCAAATAAGTTTTATTTAGCTCAAATATTTGTTTTATTTATGTCGAATAAAATTTTTATTTAAAACAAATAAAAAGTCTAGTTGGTTCTGAGACAAATATACATTTATTTAACTCAAATAAAATATACTTCGGTTAAAGATCATTTTTTTCTGGTTGTAGTAATTATTCCTCTGCGGTTGCAATTTTTCGAAGACATAAATGAAAATTTCGAAAAAACAAAAATGTGACTTTTATGTTCACTTAGAGGATTTTCTATTCTATATTCTATAGCTTATTCTATATTCTATATTCTAATTTCCATTCCATAGTAATTATTCCTCTCTGCGGTTGCAATTTTTCGAAGACATACATAAATGAAAATTTCGAAGAAACAAAAATGTGACTTTTATGTTCACTTACAAGATTCATTGTAACTGTTCAACATGTCAGTAGCCCTTGGTATGAAAGCCCATTAATTTTACTACAGCTACTAAATTGTCAACATAGTTCAGTGAACCTGTTAACTTTTCTTGCGCTATACGCACATCACAAATGCATTATGAATGAATCGTAAAATAACTTCTAGACAACGGAGTATAATGAACAAAATAATAAATCAATCTTTAAATATTTAATCTACACCCGGAGAAAAATTTTATTTAAAAAAAATATAATTTCAGTTTTAAATAATAGGATATTTTTTTTCAGAGTCTACTAAATTATTTACTTGTTTGAAATATAAATTTTATTCCAAACAGAGAAAATTTCTATTTAAATCAAATTCAAATTCAATCAAATTCAACTTTGTTTGAAATAAATTAAATTTTTATTTGAAACAAAATTTCTATTTGAATCAAATAAAACTTTTAATTATAATAATCGTATTTTTTTAAATTAAGACTGAAAATTAGGGACAATTCGAAGATCATTGACCTGAACGATTAAAAAGTCTTATGCAAACCGTTAAGTAATTGAGAATGACGATGCGAATGGCCATGAAGACAGAAATATTAATCAGCTACTGTCTAAATTTAAATTAGTGAAAAGCCTTCCACTGCTAATTTTAATATTCGGTTGCTACGGTTTCAATTTTTCAAAATTCGATGACTTTTCCAGATTTTTCAGACAATTATTTTTAAAATTCCACTAAATTTTTATCGTATTACTTTAATGTAAGGAAATAATTAATTTAATTAATAATAAAAATCAAATTGGCCAATATTTTAGTAATTTCTAATTAATAAAATAATTATGTCATTTTTTGTAAATTAGAAAATTTTTGTTACGCCTGAAGAAAAAAAATGTTTTTTTTTTCTGCAAACTTGGGAAAAATCTTTGTTTTTTGAAACTTAAAAATCTTTTTTTTATTATTTTCTCTGAGTTTTTAAAACTTAGAAATTTTTTTCATACAAAGTGATAAATATTTATAGTAATTTTTATTATATTTACGAATAAAAACCCAAACTGTTTGGAATTTTGTACTATTTCTGTAAAATTTTATTCTATTTCCAAAGTAAATTTTACTAAATTAAAAATATATTTCACTAATTTTCAATAAAAAAAAATTTACTCTGGATTTTTAATAATTTAGCAAAATTTACTATTTTGAATGTTAATTTTTGTATAAAAATTATTCGAAATTTCTCTCGAACTTGTTAATTTGCTATTAAAAATTCTTATTTTCAGAGCAAATTTAACTATTTCTGAAGTAAATTTCTCTAATTTAAAAAAATTACAGACTTCGAAAAAAGATAAAAGAAAAATATCAATAATTAATAGACAAAAATTAACAAAAAAATCTGATTTAAAAAAGTTGTAATGGAGAGAAAAATGAAAAAAACAATTTAAATTTCTAAATTTGAAATCAAAATTTTTTACATTAACTTTACTTTGATTAAAAAAAATTGCGATTGAATTTTACTACATCCGAAGCAAAATTTCAGTAAAAATTAGTAAAATTTTCTCCAAAAGTAACGAAATTTGCTATTAAAAATTGTTATTTCGAAAATTATTTGTACTATTAACGACGAAAATTTTCTTATAAAAATTAAAAATGTTAACTTCAGGAGAAGTTAAAATTTACTCTGAAAATAACAATTTTTAATAGCAAATTGTTCTGCATTCAAAGAAAATTTCAATCATTTTTATAAAAAAAATTAATTTTGCAAATAGAAAAATTTGCTATTCAAAATCATTATTTCCCGAATAACTTTTACTAATTTTTACTGAAAAATACTTCGGAAATAGTAAAATTTGCTATTAGAAATCCTTAATTTATATTTGTCACTTTATATAAAAGATTTTTTAAGTTTAAAACTCTCAAAAAATAATAAAAAAAAAACCAAATTGTACCATTAATATGCGAACATTAACAATTTAAAATTTTCTCGATTCAACTTCAAGAAATACATTTTTAAAAATAATTCTAAAAATTTCTCGACTTTTTTTAAATTCTCCTATTTTTTCCTGACTGAAAAATAATTCCATTACAATTGCGCAGGTTTTCTAGAAAAACAGCAGTTCTGATAGAGTAAAAATTTCCAACCAATTCTTAGTATTTTTGCGCACCAAAACTTTAGTAAAATTTAGAAACACTAAATAATGGATTTAGATTAAAAAAATTAGAATTAAGAATTATTGGAAATTTTTACTGATTACAATTTTTGGAGAACTGCTCACTAAATCAAATTTAGACAGTAATGACAATTTGAGACGAAGAGAATTATTTTTTTCTATACAGAAAAAATATAAATTTAGTCAGTAACGACAAATTGAGACGAAGAGAATTATTTCCCTCTATACAAAAAAAAAATAATTTTTTTTTCCTTTCGCTAATTTTTCTATCAATTTATTCTAACCTTAGACTTTTTTTACAGCTCAAAGAATCACCACAATTCAATTAGATAACGTACAATATTTCGTCTCGCGAATGAATCCCTACAGTCCAGAATTGAATTATTTCCTCGCATATCAATATTGTCGATCATTGGGTCTTCAATTAGTGTCATTTGAGACAAAAGAAAAGGCCGATACAATGTCAGAATATCTAAAGAATGCCGGCTATACAAATTACGATTTTTGGACATCTGGCAATAAAATAGGAACAAATATGTTCTTGTGGATGAGCACTGGTATTCCATTCAACGCAAGCTTCAGCTACATTAACGAACAATCCGGAAGCATACCAATTGAAGTTCCACCTGGCACCGAACCACAAAGGGTAGCTCGTGAGAGGTATATAACAAAAGAAAATTCATTTACTTCTCCACTACACTCAACACATAAGAACAGGTACATATTTTTTTCCCATTTATTCTAAAGAAGAAATCAAAATCTAAAACAAGAAACAAACAAATTAATTCAAGAAATTGAAAATTTATTAGAATAGAAATAATCGAAAAGAAATTGGTAGTTGAGAATTAAAAATTCCACAAACTCCCTGTCACGTACAATCGCAACAGGACCTTCAGCATTCGAACGTGCCAACTCATCCGGAAGTGTATGTGGTGATCGTACGTGACACCGTGACAGCAGTTTTGCTAATGACTTATAAAGATGCGTCTATAGTCCAATGCTTATACTCTGTGTGTGAGAGACAAATGAAATATTATTTCTTTTTTTAAATTTCAGTGGTAACGCTGGAAGTTCAGATAGCTGTGTTGCCATGACAAAACCAAATTTAGAATGGATGGCACAAGACTGCTCAATGGTCAAAGATTTTATCTGCGAACAGACGCGATGCTACTACTACAATTATGGCAGTATTCCAGTATCGGCGACACAGGGGTAAGAGGTGAGATAATTAATTACAATACACACAAAACGGGGGAAAAAAATAGTAGTCTTTGATTATTAGAATATAATTGTCGACAGAGAATATTGCATTTCTGATTTTGTTTTCTTCATCTTCGCGAAATTTGCAATTTACCAAAAAACGAAAAAAAAATCAAAAACGAACGAAAAGTAAACGAAATTAGTAAATTCAATTATAATTAATTTACTAATTTACTAATTTAAATCAGTAAATTGTAATAAACTTATCAAGATTGCCACAAATATTTAATTTTGTTTTTCTTGACTTTTCCCTGATTTCCAGACTTTTTCCTGACTGATTTTTACTTTTTCCCTGACCCTAAAAAAATTCTGATTCACTCTCAAAATTATTAGATACTCAAAAATTCTATTACATTTATTTACAAATTTCGTTAATTGTAAAATTATTCAAAAACATCAATAGTTTTATTAAAAATAAATATTTTATCATTATTATTTTTCCATAGGAATTAAGATTTAAAAAAATTTTTAATTCAAACCTATTGAAATTAACAACTTATCAAAATTTTATTGCAAAACATGAAGAAATCGAAAGACTCGGAGTGCTCGATATCTTCATGTCTTATAATAATTTAAATTGTCATAAAATTTTTCAAAAAAAAAAAAAATTATATTTACAAAAATTTAAATAAAATTCTCGCAAGAATTCAATTATTTTTATAAGTAATATAATTTTTCACATCAATTTAATTATTTAAAAAAATGTATAATAAAATTCGATGTAAAAATCCAATTATTATCATAAATAATAAAATTTTTCCCAGAATTTGAATTATTTTTAATACAAATTTTAAATAAATTCCTCGAAAAATGATTCTTCAAACATTTTTTGCAAGAATTCAATTAAATTTCACAAATAATGAAATTCTTCGCTGAAATTCAAATATTTTCTAAATCTACTATTTTAATAAAATTTCTGAAAAGAATTCAATTATTTAAAAACAAATGTAATAAAATTTCTAAAAAGTATTCAGTTATTTTAAAAAAATGTAATAAAATTCGTTGCACGAATTCAATTATTTTCATAAATAATAAAATTTGTCACAGGATTTCAATTATTTAAAAGAAATGTAATAAAATTCGTTGCAAGAATTCAATTATTTTTATAATAAATAATAATATTCTTCACAGGATTTCAATTATTAAAAAAAAATGTAATAAAAATTCGTTGCAAGAATTCAATTATTTTCCTGATAATAATAAAATTCTTCACAGGATTTCAATCATTTTTAATACAATTTAAAGTAAATTCCTCAAAAAATTATTATTATTATTATTATTAATTATTATTATTTTCAAACAATGTTTGCAAGAATTCAATTAAATTTTACAAATAATAAAATTCTTTGCTGAAATTCAATTATTTTCATAAATAATAAATCGATTATTTAGAAATTATTTTTTAAATTAACATTTATTAGAAACTTCTACGAAAATTCAATTATTTAAATTCAAAAGAAAATAATTTATTGAATAATTAAATGTTTGTTAAAATTGAATCCTCATAAAGAATTTTATCAACAAATTTTTAAGTAATTGAATTCTTCTAACGAATTTTAATAAAATTTTTAAGAATAATTACTATTTTCGAGGAATTTAATTAAAATTGTATCAAAAATAATTAAATTCGTGCTATGAATTTTATTATTTATAAAAATAATTGAATCCATGTAAAAAAATTTTTTTTTTAAATAATTGAATTATTGAGAAGAATTTATAAAAAATTGTAAATATAATTGAATTACTGTGAAATTTTTATTATTTATAAAAATACTTGAAATTTTGACGAGATATTTAAAAAAATTTGGAACATAATATTGAATTTCTGCGAAGAATTTTATTACTTTTGAAAATAATTGAATTTATCTAATCGTTTGTAACTTTTCCAAAATTAAATTTTTTTTAGTAGTTTTAATTAAAATTCTTCTATAAATCTATTATTTTTAATAATTAATTAAATATATATTAAAAAATGTAATTAATTTCAGAATTTGAATTATTAAAATTTTTGAAAAATCTAACTTGATTATAATTTCTAATTAAATTCATTCAAAAATAGAAATTTTGTAAAATTTAAAATTAAAACCTTTTGAAGTTGATCTATTTATGAAAATTGTAAACGCAATTGTTGTAAAATTCAATTAATTTAGATATATTTAAATAAAATTATTCATTAAATAATTTCTAAGTAATAATTTTTTGATAGCTTCTCTTTATGAATTATGTTATTTTAAAAGAAATTATTATTGTGAGAAATAGAAAAAATTGAAGGTTTTGTATTAGAATTCGTAGTAATTTCATAGTTTATACAAAAAAACATCAAAATTCAGAGTTTTCTTATGAATTTAAAAAATTTAATTTCTTCCAGTACTTTTACTAAAAATCCCTGATTTTTCCCTGAATTCCTTGACCTATGGCAACCTTGCTTATGAATTTAAATTAGTAAATTATAATTATCTTACGAATTTAAATTAGTAAATTACAATTATAATTAGTTAATTAAATTAAAAATCAAATTCAATATATAAATTCGATTATAATTAATTTACTAATTTGAATTTGTAAATTTAATTATAATTAGCTTACTGATTTAATTTAATAAATAATTGGTAACATAACATTGCGGATAACGTGGATTCAAAGAAAGAATAACAGAAGAATTTTGACAAAATCCGATATGCTGTTCTCTTTTTTTTTGTTCTTTATGGATATTTGCTAACGGAGGTATTTTTCAGCTTCTTATTTAAGAGCAGATGGAGAATAGAAGTAACTTAACAAAAAGTAGATAACAAAGGTTTGATTTAGATAATAACTGTAGTTAATTACTGATTTTAATTTAACACCACACGAAGAATTCGACCAACTAAATTATTTTACATTTCGATTAAAAATAAGTTTCACGATTTCAAAATTTGGAGACTCAGCTTTTCAATTTAAAATTAAAATCCATAAACAAATTTTTCAATTAAAATTAAAATTTGAAAACAAATTTTTCAATTCAAATTCAAATTCTAAAACAAATTTTTCAATTCAAATTAAAATTCGAAAATAAATTTTTAATTTAATTTAAAATTCGAAAACAAATTTTTAATTTAATTTCAAATTCGAAACAAACTTTTAATTTAAATTAAAATTCGAAAACAAATTTTTAACTTAAATTGAAATTTAGAAACAAATTTGAAACTTAAATTAAAAATTCAAAACACATTTTTTATTTAAATTAAAATTTGATTGAAATTTTTACGAACATGAAAAATAGAGTTAACTCACATGACAAAGAACGAATGAAACAAACGACACTACGACTTCTCTCGAAATAATTGACTACTTGACATTCGACCGACACTAAACATCATTACAATATCTAGATCAAAAATAAGAATTTCATTATTTCATCATAATCTCAAAATTTTCCACATCTTCGAAACTAAACATCTCATTTTAAAGTCAATGGAGAGAGAAATTTGAAGCATTAATAATAGAATTTCTCAAAAGAATTTTTTCAACAATTTGGAAAACTAATAAATTTTTATACAAAAAATCGAAAAAGTCACATTTTTTAAAAATAACTTTGAGGCCTACGTATAGAGAAAAATTTATACTCTAATCATTGAGGCAAACAACATGGATGCGACATGAATTCAAATTTCTCTCCGAATTGGTGAGAATTTGTAGTAGGTTTTTCGAGTAGAATTTTTACGATTATTAAAATAACAAAACTAACACATAGACACTGACAAAAAATTCCTTCGAGATCATCGATCATGTCAAGCAAAGAGCGAAGAAGAAGCAAAGAAAAAAAAACCATTGAAAAAAGTTACTTTTCTTGATTTTAAAATTTTTAATACAATATTATTCGGAAAAAATTTTTTTCTGTAAAGATAATTAAAAACAAGGTAAATTAGAAAAAATTAATTTTTAAATTTTGAATAAATAAAGTTGATAATAACAAAAACATTCGGACAATATTTTATTTTATTCTATTTGAATTCGAAACGTTGGATATTTTTTTTATTCTATTTCAATTCGAAACGTTGAACAATATTTTTATTTTATTCTATTTCAATTCGAAACTTTAGAGAATATTTTAATTTGAAACGTTGGAGAATATTTTTATTTTATTTCAATTCGAGAAAGTTGGACACTATTTTTTTTTATTCTGTTTTAATTCGAAACGTTGAAGAATATTTTAATTTGAAACGTTGGAAAATATTTTTATTTTATTCTATTTTAATTCGAAACGTTAGAGAATATATTTTTACTTTATTTTATTTTAATTCGAAACTTTAGAGAATATTTTATTTTTATTCTGTTTTAATTCGAAACGTTGAAGAATATTTTAATTTGAAACGTTGGAGAATATTTTTATTTTATTCTATTTCAATTCGAAACTTTAGAGAATCAAAATAGAATAAGATAACATTTTGTACGAATGTCTTTTGTTATTATAAACTTTATTAAAAAATACTTTTCGGATAAAGATAAAAAAAAAATTCAAACATAAAATAAAAAGTTCTCAGATTGACTCGATCGACGCTCTCAACTCCCCTTCTCGATCACTCTTTTTTAGAAGCGTTTTTTTCCCTAATTCTGCTTATAGAAATCGAAAGCCCTACATCGCAAGCACCGCCGCGCCAACCGTGACCCACCAGGAGGATGATCACACAAAACAAAATCACGACGATGAGCAACGAGCCTCTTCTTCGGCCACACCATCGCCCAAACGTTCACACGAGGATCCAATCAACAGAATTACCTCCGCTCTGCCAGCAGTCGCTCGCCATCACACCACCAATGAAATCCGTGGCAACACCAATCCAATGATCCTCGAGAAGAGCACCCGAAACGATCACATTCCCGACATAACCAGCCTCTTCTCCAACGCACCATCGCAAGTCCAAAAGGACACCGCCTTCGATGGACTCGAGACCCACGAGGTGCGCTCACTATCCCGATCATCACCAATCTTAAACGCCGAACATCGCGAGGAACCCACGGAATATGAAACTGGCGCTGAAACTGAATTGCCAAACAATGCCCTCTTGGACCCGCACACAGTCGGTCCCTACAATTCAATGCTCGACTATCAATCCGATCAGGCAATTCAATCAGATCAGAGTGAATTGGTAACGCCAATTAAGGATCATGAAGAAGACTCCAGTACCATCCTCCCGGATGCGGAACCGGCCTATAGGTACAGCATCAAAGTGCGCAATAACGGCAAAGTATTAGATCCTCCGTCCAAGTAATTATCTAATTTATCATCGTCATTTCATCATCATCATCATCATCTCAACATCATCATGAACAACAACAACAGCATCATCATAATCATTTTGTTGTCTCGCGTCCAAGCAATAGTGACAGCATTTCTGAAAAAACATCTTCAAAAGATTATTTTTTTTGGAAAAAAACTTGAAGAAGAAAATTATAATGAATTGCTCAAGCGATTTTGCTTCATGGTGCCACTAATGTCTAGTCTTTTTGTTCCCTAATACAATAACGTAACCTAACCATCGCAAACAGGCTCGTGATCATCGTCAATCCATATCCACACATCAATCATTTCCCACACAATTTTCAAGAGACGTTAGTGGTGCCTAAAAAAAGTATCTTGGAGAGCGAGATCGGCTTTGAAAAACAACGCTAGAGATTAATCACATTTCTGATTATGAGCAAAAAATTGATTTATCACTAATTTCCCATTAGTCAATTCATCTCTTGTCTCTATCCTAGCGTTTTTTCTTTCCAAAATTGATGACAATTTTGTAATTAAAAAGAAACTCGAAAATTCACAAGAGTTTTTTGGTGGCGCCGGCGGACATACGTTAAGTAATTTGGCTCGTTTCATTTATAATTTAAAAAAAGTGTACGACGATGGGATTATAGGCATTAGTTTCTATGAAAGTGTTTCCAAGTATTAAACATAATAATTAAGATATGAATTCGAAATCAAATAATGTGCGGCATCGGGAGTCCGTCCGCGCCACACATTTTTATTAAAAATGTACTGATGATTGATAATACAATACATTGTATTTTGGACAAGTAGAAAAAAATGAAATATACTTTATCGCGATATGTGAAACGAGATTATAGACTCTTTGTGAAAAAAAAAACGATAACGTTTTAATTTTAAATTTTAGTTTTGTCTCAAAAAGAGGTTTTTTTTTAACTATTAAGTATTTTTTTTAATATAGAAGATGATAGATTTCAACTCCTACGGATATGAATGAATAACTTGTATGATTGGTCATTAATAAAGGAATAGATACATTTTTAATGGGTATTTTATCATCCAAACTGGAATTTCAATTTTCGTTTTCATAACTTCCTTTGGAAATTTAAACATTTCCGTATCTTCCTTTGGAAATAAACATTTTCGAAAAATATACTAATTATGGTAATTTAATAATTAGAAAAAATAATTAAATTACTAAAAACAGGGTTGCCACAAAAATTTATTTTTGTTTTTCCCTGATTTCCAGACAGAATTTTCATTTTTTTTCCTGGTCCTAAATAATATTCTGATTCACTCTCAAAAATTTTTAGATATAAAAAAAACTGTTTTTAATACTTATTTATGAATATTTTCAATTGTAAATTATTCGGAAACATCAATAGATTCTTGTTAGATAAATTATTGTCAATTCTTATTTTTTCACAGGAATTACGATTTTCATAAAAATTTCACAATTCAAACCTTTTGAAATTTAATAATTTTTGAGAATTATTACTATAAATTCTTAAAAAATATTATCTAGGAATTATTCTAGAAAAAATCAGTTTAACTTTAAATCAATCAATTTAAATCAATCCTTGCAAAAATACAATTATTTTCAAAAAAATTTCAAGAAAGAATTAAATTTTTTTCTTAATAAATTTGTTATAAAAAATTTCAATAGAATTCAATTATTTTCTAAAATTTTAATAAATTCTGCGAAAAAATTCAATTATATTTATAAATAATAAAATTCTTTTCGAAAAATCAATGTTTTTTAATACAATTTCAATTTAATTTAACTTAATTTTGATTATTTTTCGAAAAAATGCAATTATTTTATAAAATTATAATAAATCCTTTGAAACAATTTAATTATTATATTTATAAATAGTTCTTTGAAAGAATTTAATTATTTTCAAAAATTTTAACAAAATTCTTCGCGATAATTCAATTATTATTTTCCTAAATAATAAAACTCTTCGAAGAAATTTTATTATTCTTCAATTTTTTGATAAAATTCTTTGCGAAAAATCTAAAATCTAAAATCCACTTTTTATACTTTAATTTTAGGAAATTTCGATTATTCGAAGATCTTTTAATTAAATATTCAAAAATTCAAGTAATTTTAAAAAAAATTAATACAATTTCTTCAAAAACGTTAGTTTTTGAGGAAATTGTATTAAATTCTTTTTTTTCAATAATTAAGATTGACTAAAATTGAAATTTTCTAAAATTTTAATTTCAAATCTTTTGAAATTCAATTAATGATAATTGTAGACGCAACTCTACTGAAATTCAATTAATTTTTTAATTTTTAAGTAAAATTTACCATTAAGTAATTTATAAGTAATTAATTTTCTGAAAATTCTTCGAGAATTAAATTATTTTCAAATAATTTCAATTTCATTTTCTAAAAAGTTTAACTATTGTCAGAAATGGGAAAAATTTGAGGAAAAATTCAACGTTTTGTACCTAAATTCGTGGTGACTTCAAAGTTTACAAGACAAACAAAAAGAAATTCAAAAAAAATTAAATCATTTCAATATTTTTTTGGCAATGATTACTGAACTCCTAAAAACTGCATTTTCATATGAATTTTTTAAATTTTCTATTTTTCCATACCGCTATTAATAAAATTCACTTCTTTTTGTAAGGAAATGTTATTAAAATTAATGAAAAAATTTCCCTGACTTCCCTGACCTTTGGCAACCCAGAAAAATAATTCTAAACGAGTAAAATTGACGCAATGCAAAAAATTTACTCACCAACCGTTGATTACACCTTCAATGTTGAGCATTGGCACAATTTTGAACACATAATTCTCCCTGAGATCATTGGCATATTGGGAATCATCCAAAAGAGCCTCTAATGTTCCCTTCATCACCCACGATGCATTACTTTCACCAGGATGAACTCTCGATGTCAGAAAAATTATTTTCCGATCCTAAAAATTAATTTCACAAATAATTACGTAATTCAGTTAACTTTTAAACCTCTGCTCGATTTTTTGATTAAAATTAGAATAAATTGAAATTTAGATCATTAGCCATTTTTTATGAATTAAAATTTAAAAAAATGTTTATTGCAATTTTGAATTTCAATTAAAATTTGGATTTCATTATTTGTTAATTTTCAAATCTCTACTCAATTTTCTAATGCGTTCGATTAAAATAAAAATAAATTGAAAAGTAGATCATTTACTATTTTTTATAAATTTAAACATAAAATTTTAATGCAAATTGATTAGAATTAAAAAAGAAATTAAATTTTATTAAATTTTAAGAATTTATTAATTTTTCAACTAATTTAAATTCAAATTGATTGATTTTCGAATCATTTAAATTTTTTTGATAAATCGAAACAGAGATTTATTAAATTATTTTTAATAAAAGTTCCTGTACTTCCTAAAACAATTTGATCTTAGGAATTTTTGAAAAAATTCTCCTGATGAAACTAATATAAATTATTGCAATATTCTTAAGTTTAAGTAAATATTTTTAATGTTTAAAAAATATTTTTAAAAATTCACATGCAAATTTAACTATTTAAATCAAGTCTCACGAATTTAATTACTAATCAAAAATAAAAATCTAATTCCTTCAAGCTAAGATTTAGTTCATTTTCAATTAAAAATCACGGCTATCTTTTTTTCTGATTTTAAAAACAAAAGATTTTCAATCTTTTAAATTAAAAAACAAGTTTAAAAGATCTATTACTTTAAACTAAAACCTGTTTAAAATTAGATTTTAAATTCCAATTTTTTTTTTTCTAAATTTTCAACGAAAGAAAAGATAAGAATTTTTACCTGAATGGGACTACTGGTGGAATTCGGTGCAGTTATGGTTAGCAGAGGATTCTCATTGCCATTGAGGCTATCACAAAGATTTTCAACTCGAAAATAAATTTTGCTAGGCGCTATTGTTCTCGTCCATTTCCAAATGTTGCTCATCAATTGACTATACGTATAGGGGAAATGATAAGCCAAATAGCAGACATCATTGGCGTGGGGAAAATTAACAGTGAATGAAGTCGTTAAATAATTTTTCCCCTTTCCTTGCCTCTGATAACAATTTCTATAATAACAAATATCAAGTCCAGTTCGAATCCATCCGACTCTTCCTCGTTGCGCCTCAATCACACTAAAGAGAATCGGTTTCATTCCAAAATTAAATTGCGAATTAGCCTTCTCACAATTAATTATATTGAACGTATAAAGCGTATTTCCCTCCATATTGGAAACCTCGAAATAAAACCATTGATGCCTCGATCCACTGTTTACATCCGGAGTTAAAATTAAATCGTACTCCTTTGGACCGATCTGCAATTTTTCAAAATAATTAATTAATAAATGCGTTCTTTACTTAATGAACTAGCAAATATTCCCTTAAATAAATAAATAAATAAGTAAATAAATGAATTCAAAAATAGAAAAGAAAAACAATTTTTCCCACCTGAATCGCTTTCCTAAGATTTCCACTCTCGAATCTCGATTCGAACAGCAAATGTTTGATGTCATTGTGACGTTTGCTAACTCGAAGTTCATCCCAATTTGAAAGGAGTTTATCTAACGATTGATTGGAATGACTGGCGGCTAGTGCATCGAGATCGTAAACTGTTTCATGAAGAATATTTCCCGGATGAAGACCACGATCCACGGAAGTAAGAAGTTTAGATCTACAGATTCTTCTGTCTTTGCTATTGAGTGGTTCCAATTTTCCGAGACCATCGCCACCGAGAAGATCCGGATAGGCAACTTTGACGAATTTTATAATACTCTTCACTTTACTGGCAATTGCACAATATGCATATTGATCGGTTGCATTCCCCGCAACAGATTCTAAAGACTTCAGTTCATTAACGACAAACGAGGAATTTGTATTCAACATTTTGTCCGTTTTCACCGCAACAACAGAATTTTTCTGTTTATTCAGTTTCACCAATTTCAACGACTGTTTTCCCTTTGGAGAATGTGGACCAATTTCTTGATTTGCCGAATTCTGGACAATCGACAGTTGATTTTGCAAAGTTCCCAATTCTTTGAAAAAAACGTTATAACTGGAAATTGCAAAAAAATCATTTCATTTACTAAGATATTAATTAAAAACTGGAAATTATTTATAATTCAAAAGAAAATGACTACTGGGAATAATTTAATTGAGACAAAGTTAATAAAAATAATTGAAGTAATGAAAAAAAATACTTTTTTTCCTTTTATATTAAAAATTAATTCAAAATAATTAATTGTACTTATTAAAATGAAATCCGGGAAAATAATTTCATAAAAATATTTTCAAATCAATATTTTGACTCGTAAGTTTAAAAATAAAATTTCAAAATAGATCATACGTGAATATTTATGAGTAATAAAGAAATCGAAATAGGAATTCATTTATTTATTTACCTAGCGAGATCTTCCTCAGACCTTTGTGATGTAATAAAACCGGCAAAAAATTTATTCTCGTCAATGTCGTCAGATTTGGAATCTCGTAAATTTCGAAAAACATGACTGTCTTCATCTTCGCCCGATTCTACGTCGCTGTTAGAGCCTAAAACCTGATTTTAACGTGAAAAACAACTTTTATATTCACATTTTCAAAAAGAAAAAATAAATATTGTTGATTTTCATTCTTACCTGACTCTCGGCATCACTAATACTGTCGGCACTGTTTGTTCTCGCATTTGTTTCAGGCAATGAAAATCTATTGACAAATTTTTATATCCTGAATTAAAATTTAAAAATTGAAATTTGAATCGATTAAAATTTTTTTATATTGAAATTTGGATACATAAATTGAATTCAATAACATTTTTGTAAAGAATTTAATTTTTTTTAAAAGTTTTGATAAAATCCTTCAAAGGAATTTTAATTATTATCAAATTTTTTAATAAAATTTTTTATAAGATTTAATAGATTTTCAATACATTAATTTTAAAATTCAAAACATTTGAAAAGAAAAATTGTTTTAATTACCTGGCAGGTGAAATTTTCGGAACTGGAAGTTCCCTTTTCTCGAGGCATTGACTGATGATGTCGCAAACTCTTGATAATACCGAATCGTACATTTTATTATCCGGAAAATTTGTACAGAATCGATAAAGAAGTTGCAAGCCTCCGTTTGCTTTTATCGCCTTTTTCCCGGCATCTGTAAAATTAATTTCAAGTCATGTGAATATTTTTAATTTTAAATATTTAATATATAATTTTAAATATTAAATTAACTTCGAAAGTACTTTTTTATTATGTTTCGTAATTTCTGTTTCATATTTCTCTCTTAGAAAGTAATATTTAGATTTTCTTTTTAAATTTCTATCACGAATGAAAATATATTTCTTATTTTATATTAAATTACCAAGTTTTCAATTTTTTTTAAATTTAATTTCTACTTACTTAGAACACAAAGATGCTGCAGAGTACTGAGTGCACTGTTGCAAATTTTTAATCTCAATTGTCCATCGAATCTTTCCCATCTTTCAAACAAGCGCATCAGTTGATGTACAATTCCGATTTTTATAAATTTCGTACAGCAGAGTTCTGTTAAAAAAATATTTCAATTCAATAAATTCATTATTAAATTAGAACTTTAAAAAATTAAATTCAGTGTGTTCGCAAATTTTTATTTTCAATTTTTGATTGGTTGATTGACTGATTCATGAGAATTTTTTTTATTGATTTTATTGTCGTTAAAAACTTGTTTTATCAATTGACTGTTGCATTTAAAATTAAAAATTTTTGATTGTTTAATTTTGTGACCACTCTGAAATAATATTTACGAATAAATTAATTTTTTTCCATCATTTTCCTTACTACTTGCACTGAAATATTTGAAACAATCCAACAATGTTCCGAGTTTCAAATGAGGCGAATAACCAAGATAAACAAAAGTTTTCTCTAAAGTATGAACAACGCCGTCTCTCAACAAAAATTGTTGAGAAATGCCTGTAAATTTTTTTTTATTTACTTAAATATTATATACTTATTTTCTTAATTATTTATAATAATAATTATTATTAATATGACATTCTAATTAAGAAAAATAGAAATAAAAATCATAAAGATAATTAATTATAATGTATAATAATAATTATTATTGTTAAAAATATAATGAATATTACACATTAATAAAACTTACAGTTTTTAGATAAATTTTTAAAGATGAGCAACAGTGGTAATAGGGTTTTGTTTTGATTGAAATGCTGCTTCAGCAAATTATGAAAGAGCTTCAAGGAATTAAGAGCCTTCACCTTCGTGGCAAAATTTTTATCCTTCTGGGCGATCTGCAGAGAGGAGGATAAATTTCATAGAAACAATAATCTAGTAGTTTAAACGTTTCAAGGTAATATCTCGACCTTAAATCACGCCAATTTTAATATAATAATAGCTTTCGATGAGAAAAAAAAACTTGCAAAACTTGCGCTTTTACACATTCACGTCTTATAAGGAAATAATTTTTGTTCAAAACAAATTCGAATTAAAAAAACTACCAAACGATATCAAATTAAAGGCAAATTTCTTAGAAGAAAATTAAATTTTTCATCTCAATTCAATTATCCAAAGAAGTAAAATACAAAATAATAACTGATCTATTCTTATTGCGTTGAATAAAAATATTCTTTAAATTATTCCAAATTATTTCATGTTTCTAAAGTTTCAAACGATATTTTTTCATTTTTCAAAAATTGAACTTTATTAAAAAAATTTTGTTGTAGACAAAAAAAATTAATTTTTAACTACAAATGCTATTTTTATATATCTTTCTACAAAAAATTCTTTTTATACAAAAAAAATTAATTTTTAACTATAAATGCTGTTTTTATATTTCTTTCTACTTCAATATAATAATTTCTAAAAATATTTGAACGGAAAAAATTTTTCGTTTATTTGAAATTTAAAAAATAGCTTTAAAAAAACTTCGAAACTTTAAGGAAATATTATTTCTTATTTTAAAATATAGTTTTATTTTAATTTGTCTAGAATAAGAATTGAAAAATTTAAATAAATTCGTCTGGGAAAAATTTATTATGTAGTGAAGGAAAAAATATATTACCTGACCTAATAACCAGAGCACCTCTTGGACTAATACTTCGATCATTACAGGATCCGCATGTTGGGAATTAATTAAAAGTTTTATCAAAACTTCTGTGCCACCTAGACTTATCAACTTACTAAGCGCCAATCTGCTATTGGTACCTGAAACAATTTATCAAAAAACAGTATTTAAACGAACCTTTTAAAATTCAGTAATTATTTTTTTTTTTTTGATAAATAACATTTCTTTTCAAGGTACAAGTAAATCGTCCATTAGACACTTTATGATTCAAATAAACAAAGAATCAAAAGTAAATGTTAAATTCTTTACTCACGTAAATCGTTTTTGTTTTTTAATGCCTTTCCCTTTGTCTTCGAAATTTTTGGCGATATACATTCACGAAGAATTCCAACCAAAGTGCAATTGGTGATGTTATCTTTGCAATTCTAAAACAATAAAAGCAATCAATTAATAAAACAAACAAATAAATAATTAAAAATTTACACTTTTCCTCTTTTCAGAATAGGTTTTTTTTAAGATGGAAAAAACATTTTTAATAAAGTGAAAAGTTTAATAAATTCCTCGCTCATAATTCATTATGCGAGAAATGTTAATTATTTTTAGAAATTAATTATCCCTTCGTGACTGTAAATAATATTTTTGTTGATTGTCAAAAATATTTTTTGACACAGCGAAAAGAAATTTATAAACTGCTTATTATTATAATGAAAAGTGAAAAAAAAGTAGAAGAAGTAGTTTAATGTTGGATCTATTATTGACGCAGTTGGTAGGCCAACAAAATCTGGATTCATGTCGTACTCTTCTGACGTAATAAATGATATTTCTAGGTTTCGTGCCTGCAACAATACGAAACCAACCGGAAATTGGAACGGATAAATTACACTCTTTCTTCTCAAGGATTATCATAAGTTCTCGGGTGCCAAAAAGGAAGGTACAATGAACCAAAAAAAAAGAAAAAAATTCCAAATATACTGACTTGAAAGATCTAGTTCGTAGAAATTAATCTAATGTTCGAAAAAAATCTCTTCTATCATATTTATAATTTTCTATCATTACTTTTACAAAGTACAAAATTTACTTTATCCCCCCCGTCAGTTTATTAAGATATATTCAACCTCATCACTCACTAAATTTAGATTTCTTTTACGCCAAGGCCGATCCTTTAATTAAATGGGGCAAGTCCTAATTAAACTTGCAGTTTTAAAACTTTATAGTGGAACGTGGAAATCACATTCAGACTAAAAGTCTACATTATTTTTAGATTCAGTTCAATGCTCCCACGTTTACGAGCCTTGACATCATATTTTTCTAATTAAATATATAATAAAATATTTACTTTTAATTTCGAAGAATATTTTATTTAATTAATACCTACTTTTATTATTTATTTTATTTTCTTCGTTCTAGAGATTATTAACATTTTCCGCAATTTTTATTTATAAGCACAAAAAGAATTATTCTTGGAACGTTTTCTACTTTTATTTAAATTTATTTGAATTGCGAACAAATTTTCCGAACAAGTGTATTTTGGCATTTTCGAAATTTATCGTAAACTTTAAATTTGTCAACAAATTCGATTAATATTGATTATGTATAAATAATTCTTGAATTCGAAATTGTCTCTGTTTCAAATAAAGATCAGCAAAGATGTACAATTGGAAATTCTGATCAAATATCAAAAATATAAAATTAAGAAAATAAAATAAAAAATTAGTGTTTTTTAATAAAAAAAAAAAAAAATGTTTAGAAATGGAAGTAAACATATAAGTAAAATTCATACCTCAAGTGACGCGAGAAAAATTCCTATCGATCCGGAATTTTTTTTCCATAATTTCTCGAGCATTCGCTCCCTCGTTTTGCGATCTGAAAAAAATTAAAATATCAGTTCAATCATATTTTTCCACCAATCATTATCTAATTATTATCATTCTTGTAATTATTTTTCAATCATAAAAATAATTTTTTAATACAGAAACATTGACAATTAATTAAATTATAATTAGCCATAGTTTATTTATTTTCAATTAATTAGCCATAGTTAATTAAATATTTAATAAATAAATGAATTCGAAGAAGTATTTTTATTTTTCTTTATTAAAAAAATAATTTTCCGAATTTCGGGAAAAAATATATTTCAGTCAACCTCGAACTTGAAAAGCGAGATTCTTGTTGTGCAGATACAGCACAAAGATAAGAGAAATAACATTTGGCAAAGTATACTGTTCGTAATTTAAAGTTGACAGATCAAATCGATTCCAAAGTCATGAACCTGCCACTAGTGGGAAATTGAACAAATTCAAGTGTATCTTTGCCAGAAACTCATTACAAACAATACTAATACATACGATTTACAAGATGTTAAGAGAAAGAAAGTATATAATTGATAAAAATACCTGAAAATATCAAATATCTCTAAAATAAAAATTTTGCCAAATAAAAATTTAAAGTGGATAAAATAAATTCGAACCAACAAAGAAAAATTCATTTATAATTCAATATTATTATTTCTATACATAATAATAATTTAAATTTATCATTAGTATTATTTAAATTAATCAATCTTACAATTCGTAAAGTAAATTTTAGTAATTAGTAATTTTTGAGTAAAATAATTTTTTAATTATATTTTTAATTATTACATTTTTTATAAGGAAAGAAAAAATATCAATCCATCCAAGTCAAATTTTTAATTATTAAATATTATTGATAGTAATATTTTTTTCCAACTTTCTGCAATTTTTACAAATTCAAACAACAAATTTACCTTTGAATTATTGAAACATATTTGTTTCTTAGGAATAAGAGACCAAAGAAATTTGTACAAAATATAATAAACAAATCTTGGCAAAAATAATTGCTAGAAATTGGAGTTTTAGAAACTGAGGCTAATTTGACGCTACATTGGCGAGTCATCTATTATCTTGTCTCTCTGGTGTAATTTATACCATTTCGCGCATATTTGTTTACATTATAAATTTTGCATATCGAGTAATATTTAATATCTTTTAATTAATATGAAAAATTCAAATTATTAGACAATAAAAATTTTGTTCTATTAAATAATAAAGTAATCATAGAAGTTATTAAAATAAAAAATGGAAAAATTATAACAACAATAATAATAATAATAAATCTAATAATATAATTCGATAATTTACATAATGCAGCAAACTATGAATAAATTAAATCTCAAGGGATTAAAAAAATATTTTACACCAAAACATAATTTTCTTTTTTCGAAAGAGACTTTTTTTATTTCAAAAAATATTTTTAAATTATAAAATGTATTTTATTATTAATAAATTATAATTAATTATTAAATTTTTTATTACTTTTTTTCAAAAAATACTTTTCTTTAAATGTTTCAAGTAGCAGAAATTTTTTGAAGAGACCAGAAAGCAACTTCATTTCATCGAAAGTTTAAAATTATCGAGAGACGACTGCAATTCAAATAAAAATATAGAGATAAAATGAAAAATTCCACTCGATTAGCAAATTAATAAAACTATCGAATTTAATTAAGTTAAGCGCTATTTTCTGTTAAAATTGTTTTTGAATGCGTTCTGCATGAGTAAAATTTGATGTAATCGATCAGTAAAAGGCGAAGTTTACACGATTCAATCTAAAATACTGCTTTGCGGTGAGCTGCTTGATCGTGCACAAGCTTTAGCGATTAACGAACGAAACTCTATAAGTTAATACATTTATCTAAAAATAAATTTAGAGAAACTTTTTTGAAGATACTTTTTTAAAAAGCGTAACAAAACTTATTTTCAAATATAAAATTAATTCACAAAAATTTTCTAGTTTATGAATTTAAATACAAAAAGGTAAAAAAAAACTTTTTTTTTAATATACAAAATAATAATATCTAAATAAAAAAACAATAATTGTTAATAAATATTATTATTAATGTGAAATATGAAATATTTAATATTAAAAAATATAAATAAGAAGACTAAATAAAAAGGCTAAATAGAAAGAGAAAATAAAGACTAACTAAAAGACTAAATAAAAATAACTACACGGAAAAAATATTTCACCTGCAACAACAATAATAATTTTTTTTAGAATAGCGAAAGTCTTAACTGAAAAATCTTAAAGTTTCGCTAATAGAATAAAATTTGTAATTGTTCCAGATAAAATATTTTTTGTCTGTAAATAAAAAATTCTAAAAATAAAATTAAAAGAATAGAAGAATTATCAAAGAAAAATAAACAAAAAAAAAATTACCCGAAGATGTGAGTCGTCCATGAATTTTTGCTGTGGTAGATCTCAATGAATCTGGTTCTTGTAATTTGTTGATTACAATATCCCTTAATTTTTCCAATAAAACGTCAATTACAGCTTCTTCTGCATTTTTATTGCTCGGTGACATTACACTGTAAAAAGAAAAAAAGTAATTAATATTTTATTCACATTTTCAAGTGTAAAAAAATGCTCTACATTTGAAAACCTTTTTTATTTGGATAGAATCATAAATTATCATTATCATAAATAATAATTATAATAATAATAATGATAATTATCATTAATAATAGTAATTATTATAATTATTGGGTATTGTTATTATTGATGATTATTATTATTGTTAATTTATTATTTTCAATATTAACAGATCGAGCAAAAAGGGCAAACACAAACGAAAATAATTTATTATTATTACTATTTTTATTATTATTATTATTATTATTATTATTATTATTAAAATTATTGCATTAACTAAGGACGTTTTAGTTATTTAATTAATTATCTTCAGTTCCTGACATTCTTTTCTCATGCACAAGAAAACTTGTATTAGAATTATTATTATTATTATTATTTATTTAATTTTTTGAGATAAAATAAACAAACAAAGCGCACTCAAAATACAAGTACATTCCCATTTTTGCAACAAAACACCACTCTTATAAAAATCTTTACGAATAATTAATTACTCATCCTCATCCTTCAGTGGAAGACAATTTTCCTTATTTTCCCTATCATTATAAAGCTTCTTTCTATTTTGTCTCTCTGCTCTAGTGTTTAATTCTTTCATCTTAAATGACTCCATATTTTCATTAATGGAAAAATCAAAATCAACAATTATTACTAATAAAAATTATTAATTAAAAAAATTACCTTAATATTAACAAGTCTTTTTAAATATTTGTATTTTTTCCAATAATTTAAGTGTCTTTAATAATATTTTTTTTCAATATTTTTAGTATATTTCATATATTTTTCTTTCCAAAATATGTTTCTATATTCCAAATATTTCTATTTAATATTTTTTAATTTAAAATTTAATTTAGAATTTTTTTAATTTAATATTTCTAGTTGATATATTTCATATATTTTTATTTATTTTTTTAAATTTTATTTAATGTATTTCAATATATTTTTAATATCAACAAATTTAATATCCTTCGCTTTTCACATATTTTCTTCTTTCTAGTAAAAAAAAATTCACTTCTACTATCACAGAAAATGCACTCGATAGAAAAACAGAAATAATAGAGGCACTTAAAATTTATAAACAATGATTCGAATCAAAGTTATACGAGAAAATACATTTTTTCTTCCAAGAGATAAACAATAATTTGTATTAAATTTTTTTAGCGAAAATTTTGCTTTATGAAAGTGACAAGAAACCACGCGCTTTGCCACTCCTTGACGGTTTGACGTTTCCCGCTGCCAAAACTATGTTTAAATCCCAAGTACGCACGCACGCGGCCCCACTATTTATAAATGGGGCGGGTTTTCCGAAAAATCGTTTCTTTTACTATTAACTTTTTTCCCCAATATTACGAAAATCATAACAATTATAAAAATTATAACAATAATTAAAGATATGACAAGTATAAAATTTATCCCAAGGATAAAAATTATAACAAATATAAAAATTATAACAAGTAGACAAATTATAACAATTATAAAAATAACAATCAGAATGATACAATTACAATTATAATCGAGATGATATTATAATAAAAAAAATTTAGAACAAGAAAAGAAAAAATTTAACTGAAAAATAATATTCAGACAACAAAAATTCAGAATATTTTGATAGCGTACTTCTTTTTTGTTAAACTCGCAGCCAAAATATGTGTGCTTCCCGTTTCATTAAATTTATTTTCCCGTATTAAAATTTTTCGAAAAATAAAGAAGCTCGCTTTATATCTCTTTAATATCGAGCGCAAATAATTTATCATAATTCTTTGGACTTTTGACAAAAATATAAAATCCCTCTCGTAAATAAAATATATATACATTTCAAATTTACAGCAAATTAATATTTACTACAAAAAAGAAACTAGCTACAAGAAAATTTAATTTCATATCGCAAATTATTATCATTATAATATTAAATAACTTGGAAAATTATAATAACGTGTTTTTTTGGAAAATTAGCACTTCTAAAAATTGATCACCTGCCAAAAATAAAATACATCACAAACACACCAACACTGCTCTATATATTATTTAAAATACCTAATGATTATTTCTTTTGTTTCGTAAATTTAGAAAATAATTTTTTTTTCAGCAAAAACTTATATTTTCCAAGATAAACAATTCGTTGACTTTTGTAATAAAAATAATTTTTATTTTTGAACTTTTGTACCCTAATCAATAATATTGGGTGACCACTTTGGTTCATTGAACTTTAAATAATTAAGCCAATGATTATAACCAGTTTTTGAAACAAAACAAACATTTTTTAATAAAAACTTTTGAAATTTCCGGACAAGAAAAAAATCTCTGTCATTTACCGATTTTTTCCGGTTCGGAAAAATTCAGCGTCATTTCCCTGTTCTCCAAAGCAGTGATCACCCTGTAATAATAATAAAATAATAATAATTATATAATAATAATAATAATAATAATAATAATATTAATAAAATCAAACTACTCATTTTATTATGATTATTAAAAGATTTTGTTTAATGTTTTTATAATTGAGAAATAATTTTAAACGTAAGGCGAGACGATTATAAAAATTAACATATTATAAAAGATTGTTAAAAAATTGTTAACATCTATTCTGAGATGAAAAAATTAAACTGTTATTGTGAAACTTATTTTTTATTGCTTCAATATGCAGTAATTCAAACTTATCTATAATCTTCACGTCTTTTACTCTATAATCTCAACCCTATCGTGACAGATGGAAATATATCAAAGACCTGCACCAATGTTTTATAAAACGTGTAAAATGTCTAATCTTCAAGCGTAAAGTTACCTCAACTATAATATAAAACAAGTAATTTTACGTTGAAAATAAATATAAAAGAAAGGCAAATAAATGAAATAAAAAAATAAATAGTAAATGCAATAAATAAAGGAAATAATAAATACAATTTAAATAAATTAAATAAATAAAATAAAATAAATAAAAAAAATAATCTAAAATAATTGAAATAAGGAAAATAAATAAAGTAATTAAAATAAAAAATAAGGAAAATAAATAAAATAAAAATAAATAAATTCATTAATAATTCCAATAAATAAAATTTTTCAAAAACACAATTAACTAAAATTTCCAATTCCTAACATCTTGTTCTCATAAATAGTACCAAAAAAAAATTTTAGTAGTTTCATAAAGTAAAATTTATTCCTCGAAGGAAAAATTTGGACAAATCAACCACAAATATTTATCCTATAATAAAATTTTGACATTTAAAGCCGAATTTATCGCCTTAGAAGAATTTGGACTACAGACAAAAATTTTCTCAATCAGAATTTTGATTAATTTAATAATTTTTAGAACTTTACCTAGAATTCACGAAAAAAAAAATTTCATAAACAAAACAATTCTTATTAATCGGGCAAACCTCCTATGACAAAATAAAAAAAAATTCAAAATTATTCCCTAAATTAAAAATTCAATATTATTATTTTATTACCAGAATAGTTTTTGAAGAACTTGGATAAATATTTTTTTTTATTTATTATTTATTTTACTTTTCTTACTTATTTTAATTATTTTAATAAGAATATATTAATTCTAATAATTCCAATATTTTTACCTGAAAATAAATTCAGCATTTCTCACAAAAAAAAAATTTTTTTCTTTAATTCACCATAAATTTCTCAAATAAAAATAATACTTTCGGAATAAAATAAACTTGTGACAATTCAATTATGAGGAAAAAAAGAACAAACTGACAACTTTTGGAGCACGTGACATTATATTTGGGGAGAAAAATGAAAGAGAAAAAGAAGAAATAAATACGCGTGATGAATAGAACGACTTTACGAGCACGACTTTCGTGTTTCTAATTTGATATTGTGATATATTGCGGATTCGTGAGTCTAAAGAAGAAGAAGAAGATCTTGAGTATTGTTGACAAACACGATAACTGGTTGCAGATTGATTGAATGTAGTGTGCGAACTTTCACGAATTTTCTCGACACCTTACGAACTTTACCGTTATATCGATTTTCAGAAATGTACATATAAATTGCCACGAACCCGCTCAGTTTTAAATTGCAAACACGAAAATTGCAGCAAAACCAAAACAATTAGAATATTTTTTGCAAAATAATTGTCTTCGCTAATTTAACTGCAAATGAGAAACAATTACAATTTTTTTAATAGTTCGAATATTTTTTTTCTAAACTCATTGTTTTGCTTCTATTTTTATTTTGTTTAAGAGCAGAAAGTAAAAAAAGTCGAGAAAACACATTTGTACATTTAATTTTGATTAAATTTTTCAAGTTAAAAATATATTACAAAAGGAATTTATTGCAAAGCTTTTTTTTTAATATAGCAGGGTTGCCACAAATATTTAATTTTGTTTTTCCCTGATTTCCAGACTTTTTCCTGACTGATTTTTACTTTTTCCCTGACCCTAAAGAATATTCTGATTCACTCTAAAAATTATTAGATACTCAAAATTCTATTACATTTATTTATAAATTTCGTTAATTGTAAAATTATTCGAAAACATTAATAGTTTTATTAAAAATAAATATTTAATCATTATTCTTTTCCATAGGAATTAAGATTTTAAAAAAATGGTTAATTCCAACCTATTGAAATTAACAACTTATCAAAATTTTATGGTAAAACATGAAGAAATCGATCACTCCGAGTCTTCGACTCGGAGTGATCGATATCTTCATGTTTCATGATAATTTAAATTAGTCCATAAAATTTTTCAAAAAAAATTTAATTATTTACAAAAGTCTTAATAAAATCCTTCACAAGAATTCAATTTATTTTTACAAGTGATAAAATTTCTCAAAAGAATTCAATTACTTGAAAAATATGTAATAAAATTCGTTGCAAGAATTCAATTATTTTCATAAATAATAAATCGATTATTTGAAAATTCATTTTTAAATTAACTTTTATTAGAAAATTCTACTAAAATTCAATTATTTGAATTCAAAATAAAAAAATTTCTTGAATAATTAAATGTTTGATAAAATTGAATTCTCATAAAGAATTTTATCAAGAAATTTTTAAGTAATTGAATTCTTCTAACGAATTTTAATAAAATTTTTAAGAATAATTACTTTTTTCGAAGAATTTGATTAAAATTTTATCAGAAATAATTAAAATCCTGCTATGAATTTTATTATTTATGAAAATAATTAAATTCCTGAAAACAGTTTTATTATTCATAAAAATAATTGAATTATTCCAAAGAAATTTATAAAAAATTTATAAATAATTGAAATTCTGATTATTGCAAAGAATTATTGCAAAGAAATTTATAAAAAATTTACAAATAATTGAAATTCTGATAAATTTTTATTATTTATGAAAATAATTGAATGTTTGCGTAGAATTTTATTAAAATTTTTTTAAATAATTGAATTTCAGCGAAGAATTTTGCTGTTTATAATGATAATTAAAATCATGACGAGAATTTTTTTTTAATTTTTGAAAATAATTGAATTTCTGGAAAGAATTTTATTACTCTTGAAAATAATTTTATTCTCGTGATTAATATTGTCATTTATGAAAATAATTTTATTAAAATTCTTGAAAACAATTGCAATTTCTGGGAAGTATTTTGATATTTTTCAAGATAATTGATTTCTTTCGAAGAATTGCGTTAAAATTTTGAAAATAATATTAAATACATATTAAAAGTTGAACTAATTTCAACAGAATTGAAATTAAAATTGTATTAAAAATATTTGAAATTCTGCGATGAATTTTATTATTTATAAAAATAATTGAATCCATGTAAAAAATTTTGTTTGTGAAAATAATTGAATTATTGAGAAGAAATTTACAAAAAATTATAAATATAATTATTGAATTACTGTGAAATTTTTATTATTTATGAAATACTTGAAATTTTGACGAGATATTTAATACAATTTTCAACATAATTGAATTTCTGCGAAGAATTTTATTACTTTTGAAAATAATTGAATTTCTCCAATCATTTGTAACTTTCCCAAAATTCAATTTTTTTTTAGTATTTTTAATTAAAATGTTCCTATAAATCTATTATTTTTATTAATTAATTAAATATATATATATTGAAAAATGTAACTAATTTAAGAATTTGAATTATTAAAATTTTTGAAAAATCTAACTTCATTTTTAATAAATAAATAAATTAATTAATTTCTTAATTAATGATAAAGTTTCTAAATGTAAAATTTAACTTTTTGATTTTCATCGCAATCATTTGTGAAAATATTTATAATAAAAAAATGTTTCCTTCGTCTGAACATTCAAAACTTCTGGATCATAAAAAGAGAAAAAGCTTCTGCAAAATTAAAATTCAGAAGCAAAAGTGAGCTTATTAGAGAATATAAAAATCAACCATAAAGGACGCTATTTGCTCAAATAATGACACTATGGAAATAAATAAAACTTGGAAATTACGAGAAAATTAACTACCAATTATTATTCTCAGTAGAAATTTTGTCCTTGCTCTCGTTTTCCACGTCACACATTTTTCTTAATATTTTAGGAGAAATTTAAATACTGCAGAGAAAATTTGCAAACAGATCCAATTTCCTCTAAATTTTTCAGAAAAATTCTTTAGCAATTTTTAGGGTTACTAAAAATTTTATTCTACAACTTGAAGTTGTTTTTTAATGTTAAAATTTTCATTTCTAAATAAACTTTTTGTATTTGAAAAAGTTCTAAAATAAATTTTTTTTGTTTCTGTAAATATTACGGCTCGCAAAAAATTTATTTCGTTAATTGGTTCCAGAGAAAAGTTTGATTGATCCAAAATTAAAATAAGGCAATTAATTAATTACCTTATAATAAACAAATTTTTTTCTTTCTATAAATTTTATCACAAACAAAATTTAATTGATTCAAGACAAAATTTTGAATGAATCAAATTTAAAATAAGGTAATTAATTAATAAAGAATCAGAATAAAATTTAATTTAGTTAATTAATCAAATTTTTTCTTTCTATAAATTTATTCGCTCACAAAATTCAATTGCTTCAAGAGAAATGTTCGATTGGCCCAAAATAAAAATAAAGCAATCAATTAATTAACAACTTAAATAAAATTTAATTCAATTAATTAATAAGTGAATTAAATTAATTACAATGCTAGACAATAATAATAATGCCAAATTCCTCTACAAACGGATAAAATATACACAAATATGTATAAATAATAGAAAAAATAGTATAGACATAGGTAATTACAATTATTATTATTTTAATTACGATGGAAAGCCACACAACACATTTGATAAATGAATATTGCAACATTTGAGAAATTACTAACTAATGAACTACTTTCGTGTGTGTTTATTCTGACAGTTGCTATTTTAAGTATATATAATAGATATATAAAGATGATAAATTTTTGGCAATCGAATATTCCAAATGCAAATTTTGAATTATGACACTAAAAAAAGTTGAGCCACACCCTTTTTATTTTTGATCTAATCTTGAATTTCGTCAATGCTAACCGGTTAATATATTATGTATTATAACTGCTTATTTTAATGTCTTTGAATAACATTCGTTCATCTCCTATTCGAGTGTATATTTCTTTTCTTTTATAACACCACCTTCTCAACCTGAGTGACTATATGTCAGATTAATCTTTTTTCTCAATAATCTCTTATTATCACGCTAAAGTATATATATAAATCTCTTTACTCAGAAGCGTGTTTGCACACTAAAATTCCTCTCGTCATATAGTAATAACAACCATAATCGATTTGCACTTAAAAATTCCTTGAACAGAAAAATAATTAATTCCTTTTTTTCCAATTTTAACACAGGAAGCTAAACAGTAGTAATTTTATTTTTGGAAAATAATATAAAAACCTTTGTCGCTGGAAAAATAAATTTTGTACAATTCTACCTTTTTTTAGTATTAACATAATTAGATCTTAAATCTAGAATTTTAATTTTTAATTCTAATTTCAAATTCCAATTTTCCCTTTCAATTTTCTTTGTAATTAATTTGAACCCAATAATTTAATTAATTTTCTCCTATTAAATTTTAGATTCAATAGGTAAAAAAAAATGAAATTCTAGCAATGAAAATATAATTCTGGTGGGGATTTTGATTCCACTGTGAATATATATAAGTGGTGGATACCGCTAAAACTCACAGTTTAGTGCACGTTGTCTGATTCTATGCGAAAGCTGTCACAATGGACGTGAGTTCAATGAAAAAAATTTTTTAATTCCCGTTATATTGCCCAAAAATTTAAAATAAACAATTATTACAAAAGAATAAATAGTTGTTTATGTAATCAAAGCTGTTAAGTACCAAAAAAGCAAATTTTGAATTTGAAAATTAAATAACTAGCAAAATATTAATACTAAAATTAATATTAATATTAATATTAATTAATTATTAATTAACTTAACTTAATTGCATTAATTAATTAGTTAATTAATTATTAATTACTTTAAATACCTTGATCTACTTGTATTTTTTTCAACGATTTTTTCAAAGAAATTTTTTTTTCATTAATAGAAATAGTTTTTATTGATAGAAACTTCCAAATTTTTGTCAATTCTTTCAAATTTCGGTTGAGAATTTTACTCTATTATTTAAACAAATAAAATTGTGGTTCAGTGAAGAATATTTAAATGATTAAATAATAAATAACTAAATCAATAAATAATTAAATAAATAAAATAAAAATGATTAAATAAAAATTAAATATAATATAAGAAAACATAATAATAGTTTAATAAGAATATTAAATCAATAAATAATGCCTCTAATAAATATAATATTCTAATAATGGTAAATGATAAATAAATAAAAGTTATAACAGTGCTGAATTTAAAAAAAAATTATTGAATTAAAAAAACAGTATTGAATAAATATTAAATAAATTTATTCAATACAGTTAGTATTCAATAATAAATATTTGTATATATAACAATAAACGACTTAAAAAAAACTATCAAAGTTAACAAAAAAAAAAAACTTGTCATAATTGTTTTAACAATTATACGAGAACGTATACTTTTCTTCCATAAATCTCGTTTACACTTTGCAAAACTGACTTCTACCTTTTTAATTGATAGTATTTATAAAATTTCAATTATAAAATACGAGTGCAAAAAAAAAAGAGCAATAAAGATCAGTTTTAAGAGCGCAAATTATTATTTAACCGTCTGCCAAGGCTAAGAAAACAAAAAATCGTCCTTACGAGTATATCTTGCAAGGAAAATTCAATTCCATCTGGGAATACCGTGAATACGTATATAATTTCTCTCATAAAATCACGAACAATAATTTGTAAAATTCTTCATAAAATCATTAAACACAAAAAGTAAATTCCAATTAGTAATATCATTTATATATACAAATGAAATCAATTTTACAATCTAAATGTTGAAATTGACAAAGATTTGTGATTCTAAAGTGTGTGAGAAATATTAAATAACAAAAATGTATATTTTAATTTGTCCAAAAAATACTAATTTCTTTTTTTTGCAATATTCGCGAATAAAAATTGTGTATTCATTAAATATATTATATATTTTGCAAAATTGAATTCTTTTCTATTGGGCAAATTATAGAAAATATTTTACATTATAAAATTGTCCTTAAATACGATTTTTGTAATTTCAAATTCGAAATTTATGTTTTTCTGGTCATTAGCATATTTAATGAACAAAAAAAAAATTAAAAAGATCTTAATTTTTTGTTTGGTCTAATTATTTTGGTATATTAATCAATATATTTGTTAATAAACAAAAATAGAGAGAAAGAGGAAACTTCTCTTAAATTGATATTTTAATTTTTTTTTGTATATTAATTAATATATTTATTAATAAGCAAAAATAGAGAGAAAAATTCTCTAAAATTGATATTTTAATTTTTTTTGTATATTAATTAACATATTTATTAATGAGAAAAAATCGAGAGAGAAAAAGAAAAAATACCCTAAAATTAATATTTTAATTTCTAGAAATTTAAGATCATCGCGTTATTTCTCATGTTGGGTGTCTCTTTAAATTTCACTCCAGTTACGGCAACTTATGGAGTGTATCAACCAAACTTTTTTCGTTTTCCACCAGTGCAACAGCCTTATACACCATATGCCTATTACGATACCTACAGGGTAATTAATTCTACTTTTTAATGCATTATTATTACATATTTGATAGCTTCATTATTACGCTAATAATTCTCCTAAATGTAGCGAAATTATTACAAATTAAATATTTCACATCAAAAGAAGAAAATCAATTGAAGAAATTGAAAGTAGAAATAAAATTTCCCCCACTAAACAATTTATAATAATAGTAAAAAATTCTAGTAAAATCTACTACATTGGAAAATTCTTCCGTAGTAAAAAATATTCACTACATTAATAAATTTGTAAATAATAATAAATCTTTCAGTCAACAAAATAATTCCTGACCAATCAAACATTTTGTTTTGAACCAACAAAAAATATTGGATTAAAAAAATCTAATGGAAAAATTAAAGGAAAATTATGATCAACAAGTTTGAATATTTGAATATTTAAATGAATGGAATATTTAAAAAAAAATATTTCCACAAATAATTACTGTTGGCAATAAAAATTAGAAAATTAAATTTTATATTTTGAATTTTTACAATTAATTTAAATTCCTTTGATAGTGTCGGAAAATTATTGCAATAAAAATTCAATTTGAAGAAATATTTTTTTTCTTCTCTTTCTTATTGTAATTTCGCTCATTTGAACGTTCAGAAATTTAGGATCGTCGAAAATAATAAAACGAATACATTTTAATAAAAATATGCTAATAAAAAAAACTACTGTTATCAAATTAATTTTACTTAAGAACCAAATAAAAACTACCATTTTTCTATGAAATTATTCGAAACCGTTTTATATTTTATGTTAATGTATTTGTGTTATTATTTTCCTTTACTTTGAATATAATCAACTCGGAATTGATTGAAATCTTTTAAATACAACGAATTGACTCGATATTAATTGAAAAATTATTTTTTAGTTAAATACCGGAATTAAATCATTCCCTGGTTCGATTTATCCAAGTAGCTATCCAAGTAGTTATCCAACTTATTCTCAACCGCAAGCGCCAACGATTTATAGTTACTTTGGAACTCCTGTTTATGACTATCGACAACCACCAGTGCAGGTAATTCAACAATTTATCCGGAATGGAAAACCTGAAATGATTTAAATGATTAGAAACATTTTTATGATTCATGTTAATTAATTAATTAAAATGATTAATATTATCATTATTAATTAAAATTAGTAATATTATTAATTATATTATTAATTTTTAATTTTCAAACGATAAATATTATTAATTAAAATGAATAATATTATTAAATAATATATTTTCCTTTTACTTGTCAGTTTTATATTGGAGGAAGACCAGTGTATCCATTACTGCCGCCCCAACTTCCTCCACCTGAAGATCCATCATCGAAGGATAAACCAAAAAAAGGCAAGAAAAACAAGAAAGACAAGGAAGACAAAGATGATGAAGAAGACAAGAATGATAAAGAAGATCCTAACAAAGATGCTGAAAGTGGCGATGACGACGACGAAGGAATTGAAAAATTAGACAAAAAGGATGAAAAGAAGAAAAATAAAAATGACAAAAAGCCCAAAAAGCCAGAAGACGATAAAGAAAAAGAAGAAGATGATAAGAAACCAGATAATAAAAAAAAGCCAGAAAACAAAAAAAAGAAGCCCGAGGAAGACACCACCGAGAGCAATGAAGATTCTGTTACTGTCGATGCATTAGAATAAACAAAATAATTTTTTTAAAACCACAAAATGGTAAAAAACAATTTTCTACCACAATATCAAATCAAAAAGAAATTATTGAAATTAAATTGAAAAAGAAATTATTTTTATTCTATAAAAATAATTTCTATAAAAGTAATTATGTTTCATTGAAATTCACCTTAAAATTAAACGTTGGTGAAGTTCACAACGTTTATAATCAACGATTTCCTAAGAAAAACATTTTTTTAATCAAATTTTTATTAATTTTTGTATAGAAAATATTTTGGTTAGTTTTTTGAATAATGATTTACAAAAGAAATATTTGTGAACAAAAAATTTTATTCTTTTTCGTATTAGGAAAATAATTTTTTTTTTCAATCGTTGATCATAAACGTTGTGAACTTCACCGACGTAAAATTAAATTAAAAGAAAAAACCAAAATTGATATTCACTATAGAATTCAATCAAATATCTTCGCAAATTTTTGCATTGAAACAAAAAATTCGATGGACAAGAGTAGAAAAATATAAATATTGAATAAAATTTGCCAAATTAAATGTAAAAAATATAAATAAAAAATTAGAATTAAATAATAGACTGTACAATGTAAAATAATTAATAATAATAATAAATTGCGTGAAAAATGTTACATTTTTCAACATAAATTTCATGTGTATAATATCTGTGACTATACTCACTCCTGATAACATGGGGTCACTTTAGGTGAAGTATCGTATTCTAGTTTTAATCATAATCGCGGAAGGATTGTCAGTTTCTTTCGCGCATAATAAACTTTCTCATTCCAAGGATGATACTCGGTAATCGCAACTATTTCCTGCAGTTTACGATACTATTAACTATCACGTCCTTCAGTGAGGAATTTTTTCTGACAAAAAATCGAAAAGTAAGATAAGTTCAAAAAAAAAACTTTATTAATTACCCTTTGGTCAACTTTTTCGGTTAATTTATTAACGAATTTAATTATAAACAAAATTTGTGACTATTAAATTTTTTGGACTATTTTTATCGAATTTCTTTGATAAAAAATAAATTAATCATTTAATTAATTAATTAAGAATTAAAATTAATATTAATTTTAATACTATTATTATTTTTTATTCTTATTGTTGTTGTTATTATTATTATCATTATGATTAATATTATTAATATTACTATCACTATTCTTATTTAAAAATACATAATAATATTATTATACAAAAATAACAATATTAATTATTCAAAAAATTATTTAAAACATAATTATTCAAAATTCAAATAAAATAATTCATAATATTGTGATTAAATATAAATTAATTACAAATTATTTTTGATGAAAAGAAAAAAAGGAATAAGTGGAATAAGACATTTTTTGCCCTTGCAGAAAAATGAGTCTAATGAAGAATTAAAACAAAAATTTCCAAAAGAGCATGTTTACTATCATAGAAACGATATTGGACATTTGAATGAATACTATCAGGAACGAAAAAAATTAAGACAAGAATATGACGCGATTCAAAAAGCCCTGGAAGCAAATGAAACAATTCAGCGAGACATAGACCCAAATAATACTGATTATAATTTACTAAATACAAATCCTCTAGATCTTTCGGAAGTTGAACATTCAGATCAGAATATCGAGCCATTAGTTAACAACACTAATGCAAATCTAACTGGAAACCAAAATTCTACGACTGGAATACCAAACACCGAGGTAAGAGAATTTTTAATGCGCATTCTTTATGCACCAGGTGGAAAAACTATCAATTTAACAACAAAATAAATCCTATACAAAAATCGAAAACGTAAAAAATTTTTAAACGGAAAATTCTTTTTCGCTTTTTCTTTGTGTAACACTTTCGAAGAAAAATACTGCTTATTTGCAAAAAAATCAAAGTTTTTTCAGTATTTATTAAAAATACATGAACTAATAAACAAGAATTAGTTTAATTGAGCTGTACATACCTACTTGCTGTTTATTAACACCGCTTTTTGTTAACAATCATCCTCTGGTGCGTGATTTGGAAGAATATTTTGAGGTTAGGTGTCAAAATTTACTTTCAATGAGCTTAATACATTGGATAATTTTCAAGTAATATTTAGTATTTAACTTGTTCCGTATCATTTTTTGTATCACTTTTTCACTTCCAATGGATAATTTATCGAATATTTACTCAACAATTTGCAATTATAAAAAACTGAAAAGCAGCCGGTGGCCGTTGGCAATGTACTTGTTGGCGTCGCAGGGAATGCGGAACTGGCGGAACGGAACGTCGCTCATGCGCACAACGATTCATTTTCATCCGCCAATCAAATAGTGGCGCGAACTTTAAAATTTCAAATATTCCAACTTTGCGCAACTTTTTAATTGGTTGATGAAAATTACCCACTCCGCACTGGTTCGTTTGAATTGTTTGAACCGTTAAACGTTTTTTTTAAAATTTTTATAATTAATAATTAAATAATCAATAATTAATTATTATAATAACAAAATAAATATTTTTCCGGTGCTTCTGCAAACAGTTATTTTTTTCGTAGGTGTTACATAAAAGCAATTAAACAATTTTTATGCGAATATAAATAAATTTATAAATATATAAAATTATAAATAATGAATAAAAAAAATTATAACTAAATAAAATATATAAATGTATAAATATTTGTAAATATTTAAAAATAAAATAAATTGAATTAAATAAATTAACGAATTTGTAAATAATTATTTATAAATATAAACAACTATAAATATTTGTAAATAAATATTTATAATTTATAAATATAAACAACTATAAATAATTGCAAATAAATACTTTTAATATAAACAATTAAAAATACTTATAAATAAATATTTAAAAATACAAATAAATTAAATAAATTAACAATATTTATAAATATTGGCAAATTGTTAAAATTTAAACGAACTGAAATTAAAAACATTAATTGTAAATTCCATAAAAATTGCAGATTAATTTGGAAAATAATAAATATAGAAGAATAGGTGACTGTCGAGGCCAAATAGTTTACAATCAAAATATTCACATCACTGGTGGCAATTACAGAGCGACTAATGGATATTTACTAGAAATAAATTTTGAAGGAATTTGCGTTACTTGCATTGAAATAAAATCGAAAAATGACAGAGACTTAAAAGTGAAAGTAATTTCCGGCGGTCCTGGTGAGTCGAAAATTTCATTGAATTTCGAAGAACTCAATAAGAATTTTGAGTTTGCATATTTATTAAAAATTTGGGGAGTCGGAGAAAAATGTTAATAATTTTTTTTTAATTTTCTGGATAGAAAAATTCTATGTTTAAAAAGAACGTTTCATTTTTATTTTAAATAAACAATTTTTATTATAAATGCTAATTTCATTCATTATTTTATAAAATTTTTTTCTTCTATAAAGAAAATTCTTTATTTTATAAAATCTTATTTCATAAATCTTTTTCTTTTATAAAATCTTATTTCATAAGTTTTTTTCTTTTATAAAATTTTTTCTTTTGTAAAAATTTATTTTATAAAATTGTTTTCTTTTATAAACATTTATTTTATTAAATGTCTTTTCTTCTATAGAAATTTTTTTCCTTTATAAAATACTTATTTAAATAGACATCTTTCCTTGTTTGTAAATTTAAATAATTTCTTTTTTAAATAATAAAATTCTACATCTTTTTAGAAATATATGGCAGTAATTTTCGCATTTGAAATCAAAAAGAAATAAAGTATTTAGATAATAAATATTTATAAAAATAATTTGAATAAAATATTAATATTCAATGAGATAACAATATGAGAGTTAAAATTGAATATTTGTAAAAAAATAAATTAAGCGCAAATATTATTCTTTAACATAAAAAATAACTCCGTGAAAAGCAATTATTTTAATATAACGATATTTCAAGTTTTTTTTTCCTTAATCTACGATTATTCATTAAATATAATTTGAATCACATGAGTAAAACGCAGTTGCGCGCATTTTGTATTAAAAAAATATAATCTAGTCTAAATTTAAATGTAGAAACAAAATTATGTATAATGAAACTTAAAATCAAATCACAATTTCCATTCTTATCAATGTCATTTTTCTTGCATTTGTCATATTGGAAATATTTAATTAATTATTTAAACAATTATTCGTCCTTTTACAATTAATTAATTGTTTATCCTTTTAGTCAAGTTTTTAAACTAAATTTTGTCCTTTTGCAGTTAAGTAATTTAAACGATTGTCCTATCAGTAAATTAATTTTTTGAAACTAAAGTTTGTCCTTTTGCAAATTAATTAATTAATTACACAATTTTTTCTCCTTTTGTAATTAATTATTAATTTAAGCAATTGTTCTTTTACAATTAATTAATTATTTAAACGATTGTCCTTTTAGTCAATTTTTTAAACTTTCTGTCCTTTTGCAGTTGATTAATTATTTAAACAATTGTTTCTTCCTTTATAATTAATTAATAATTTAATCAATTGTTTCTTCTTTTACAATTAACTATTTAAACGATTCTTTTTTTTGACAATTAAGTTTTTAAATAATTGTTTGTCCTTCTGCAATTAATTAATTATTTAAACAATAGTTTGTTATTTTACAATCAATTAATTGCAATAACAGATTCAAATAATTGTTAAAAAAATTAATTTTACCTTTCTCAATAAAAATAAAATTAGTCTCTACGTTAAAAACAAGCTCATAAGATTTTTCTTTAAATTAAAATTTATACAATTTGTTAAAAAAAAAGAAAAAAAAAGTTTTTACCTACAAAATTATCATTATATACAAAACCTATGAACTTTTTGTAATTTTCGTCGGTACCGGAGGTGGTGGAACATCAGGAATATCTTTCTTCTTCTCATGATAAACATTCTTCATTCGTTTCTCATCATAATGACTCGGCAATAATTGTTGGGGGAAATTTTGTAAATTTTGTAAATTTTGTGGCGGTAATGGTTCCACTGAGCCATTATCTTGATAAGCCGTTGGTGCTAAATGTGAATCGAAACCATTGTAGGTGTAAAAATATGGATCGTAGTAGAACGAATGATAATTTGGATAGAATCGCAATGGAATTTGATCGCTTTCCTTTTTATTATTATTGTTGTTGTTGTTTTCATTTTCGTTTGTTGGTTTCTTCATTGTCTCCTGGGGGGAATTTTCCGGTACAACTCCTTGGGAAATTTGTACATATTCCGGTGTGAATTGCGGTGCAAATTGTGAATAATAATAAGGTGGAACGTAGCCCACTTGAGTTTTGTGAATCACTGGCTGAAGAACTGGAAATGCTCGCGATGGCAGGAGATTTTGATCGGTTGTTATTAGAGCATTGTAGACTTTTGGCAATTTTCTTAGACCTGGAACTGCTGTCACCAGAACGAGGAGAAATAATCCCAGCATCCACCGCATCTATAAAAATTAAATCGATATTAGTTTTTTTCATTTTTTTAAAATTAATTTGATACGATTTTTTTCAATCATTTCGATTCAATTTTTGTTAATCAATTCGATTCAATTTTATTTTTTTTAATCATTTCGATTCTATTTTTACATTCTCATAAAAAATAAGAAGGTTTTGTATTTTTTTAAACAATTCAATTCAATTTTAATTTTTACTTTATTTGATTTTCTTTTTAAATTCAATTCTATTTTTTTAATCAATTAAATTAAATTTTAAACATTAATAATTGCAAAGTAATTAATTAATAAAAATAAAAAATAGTATTTTGGAAAATATAGCGAAAAGTGAGAGTTATTTCGTGTACAGCTAACATATAATTATAAATAGATGAATCAATATTTTGAAAATGATTATTATTTTTTTTATTTTTTGGTGCAAATAATCGAAATCGACAAGGACCTGATTTCTGCAAACATTATTGCGTGCAGCGGACCATGCAGACTGTAACAACGATTATCGAAGAACGGTTATTGTAACGGTCGTTTGAAAATTCTATCTCTGCTTCTCAAGAGATGATTCTCTTAAAAGTAAATAATTGAGTTACCATATTTGGTACCTATTAATAACACCAAAGAACTAAAACTATCCGCAACAAAGATTGAGTAATGAAAAGAAAAAAAAAATCCCCCTTTTTTGCGATACAATTTTTACAGCAAAAATAATTTTCTCTTTAATTCACAAAATTGTTTTACAAATCTCCTGAAGCGCTCACTTATTATTTTTTCAAGCGCAAAACAAAAAAAATCAAGGTCCACAATCATCACTGATTTTATTCCCTTAGTTACTTTCGAAATTCTTTCATTTTTGAAAACTAATTTTTTTAAAGAATAAATATTTAAATAAATAAATTTGAATACATTTTTTTTAATAAAAAAATTTTTAAATTGTCAAAATCTTTTTTGGGAGAAAAAAATAATTTTGCTAATTTAATTGTCAAACGAGAATTTATCAAAACCTTTTTGAGAGAAAAAAAATAATTTTGCTACTTTAATTCAATTCCTTTTCAATAAAATAATTTTTTATTGTAAAAACAAATATTTTCTTTTGAAAGAGAAAACAATATTTTTTCTTCAATATTCGTATTTATATAAAATAAAATTTTTTTTGTTAATTTAATTCAGTTCCTTTTCAATAAAATTTTTTTTTCAAATTGTTAAAACAAAATTATTTTCTTTTGAGAGAGAACAAAAATTATTTTTGTTAATTTAATTAAATTCCTTTCCATTAAAAAATTATTTAAAATTGTCAAAAAAAAATATTTTTACGAGAGAGAGAAAAAACAATTTTTTAAACAATTTTTCAAAAATATTCCTCGCTCAAAAAATAATTAATTCTTTTCAGCGATGAATTTTCAAAATTGTTAAGAGAGAAATCTTTTGTGTTGAGTGAAAAAATAAAATTTGGTTTCGATCAATATTTTTTTCTATCTAACAAAGTTGAAAAAATATTTATTTTTAATAATAGTTTTCTATAAAAAGTTGTCTCACTTGTTTTTATTTATTTTTTTTGAATTGCGTAATTTGACCTCTAGTTTTAATCGAGAGTGTATATATGTATATAAAAATTCCTTAATACCATTCTTTTAACTCCCATTCAAACAAAGAACTCCACTCAACCTTGAAAACGACTTGAATTTAATATCTTCCGTTTTTACACGATTAATCTTTAAATAGACACTTTTACCCCTAATTAAATTTTATTTATTGACTATTTGTTCAATAATTACCCTTAAAGTTGAAAATAATGAAACAAAACAAAACGGCAAAACAAACCACAAACAAAATTGAGAAAATAAACAAAATATTTTAATAATAAAAAGGAGTCATTCCAAAAAAACAATTTTTCCAGAAAAGAATTTTTCGAAAATGCAATTTTTCTAAAAAAGAATTTTTCCAAAAGAGAATTTTTCCATAAAAGAATTTTTTCAAAAAAAGAATTTTGTCTAAAAATTAATTTCTTCTAAAGAATAAATTTTTTTCGAAAAACAACTTTTTTAGAAAAAGTAAATAAATTTTTCCACAAAAGAGTTTTGTCTAAAAATTAATTTTTCTTTTAAAGTACAATTTTTCTGGAAAAACAATTTTTTTTAGAAAAAGTAAATGAATTTATGTTTAAAAACAAAAAAATATTTATTTTTCCAATGAGAATTAAAAAAGAAAGCAAAAAAAAAAAAAATGAGTAAAAGTGAGTTTTGTTATTTGAAGAAAAGTGATTTCGAAATTTATGAAAAATTTAGTAATTATTTGATTGAAAAATTAGTTTTGAAGAATGTTTTGTTTGACGAGTGAAGTGAAGAGATGTGATAATTTTGAGATTTACTTGCCTTGTGTTTATGACAATTATCCTTTCTGATCCTTTCTGTATTTCACGCTCAGCGTCACGAGTAAGTAAGAGAGGTACATGTGCCGGTAGAGTAAATATATATGGGCCATGAATCTCAGAGTTCAAGTCTCACCTCCCACTTTTATACCTTGGCGAAAGTACTCCCTGATCGTTACTTATAGGGTTCAACTGTATTTATCCATTCAACGTACATATTAAATGGTGCCAATTATTTATTCCCACACAAGCTGCTGCTGCTGCCGCTAACTGGCGAACCTGATGAAAAGAATCCACATTTTAAAAAAATAGCCAATAATTTCAATTTTTTAAATTTCACACAGTAAAATAAAATAGAATTACCTTCAGTTTTTTCTTATTTCTATTTTTTCTATTTAATTTTCTTTCTGTTTAATTTTCTCTATACTTTTTCTATTTAATTTTCGTTCTATTCTTTCAATTTAATTTTCTTTCTAGCCATTCTATTTAATTTTCTATTAATTTTCCCTAAACACTTTTCTTTCTCTTACTTCTAAACTCACCAAAAAACGAAATTAAAGGTTTCATTATAATTGAGAATTAAATTATTTTCTGATACGTTTTATTATAAAATTACAGACTTAGAAATTTTCTTTCTTCAATATCATATTATTCACATTGTTTTTTTTTCTTTATACACTAATGAGTTTTTTCCTGATGAGTCAAAATTTGCCTGACTCGCAGGAAATTAAAAAACAACTTCACAAATCATTGGAATAAAACATTTTTCCGTTTATTTGGTGAACCGACAAATAGACGGAAGTTGTAAAAATCACAACCGTAAACATAAAAAAATATGTTTAGGTCCAATATATTTAAGTTTTATATATGTGTACTTGAGAAAGAAAGAACTGTAAATAATTTTATGGCAATATGTTATTTACGGCTATTGATTTTCCTTTAAAAAAAAAAAAAGACAGTAAATATATGAAATTAATATTAATGTAACATTACTAAATAAAATAAAAATTTCCCAATGGATTTTCAGAAAAATTGTACATTTCCTATAATGTTGATATTTGATGAGTGAAAAATATATTTCTAATTATTTAATTATATAAATTTACTAAACAATTTCAATTCATTTTTTGAATATTTTTATATTTGAAAATTGTATTTAGTTTTTTAATTATAAAAATATTTCAATATCGTAAAAAGATTTAAACTTTGGAAAAATTTTAATATTTTCGATATTCAGTTTGTAAATATAAAAATATTTAAACATTGTAAAAATATTTTAAATACAAAAATATTTCAATGCCGTGAAAATATTTTAAATATTCAGTTTTTAAATATAAAAATATTTTAAATGCAGAAATATTTTAAATATCCATTTTTGAATAGAAAAATATTCGAAAAATGTCTAATTGTTAAAACAAAAAAAATATTCGAAAAATGAAATGAACTAAAATAGAATTTCTTTGAATTTGATTTTACGTAATTTGTAATAAATTTGAAAATCAATTAAAATTAGAGAATAAATTCGAATTAAATTTTCCATATTCTAAGGATGATTTCAATTTGTTTTGTAAATTGAGAAACAAAAAAAAAATATTGAGCTCGATTCAGTGCAGCTCTTTGGTGATTGAAATTGTTCTTTGGCCTCTTGAGAATGGATTTTTTTTTGTTCTTTCAAATTGATTCAATGGGAATTGCGCACATTCTTCGCAATAGCAATATTGGAAAATTTGGCAGTAAAACCATCATCACTAATAGTAATGGCGATAGTAATAGAATTAAACTGGCGTATATTAATAGCCATAAAATTGGCGAAATCCCCAAGACTGGTTCCAGGATTGTCATCCTTCAATTTTTCTTCAATTTCAAAAAACCATTCGCCTCATCCAAAGAACCCAATGAGCAAAGTGTTTATCAAGGCAAAAGTCGTTTCTCATTTTTTCTCTCTTGACGATGAAATCTGAAAAAAGAAAAAAATTAGCAAAAGAAAAAGAAAAAATAGTAAAGAAATTAGAAGTTATATTATTTTTGTAAAATAGTTTCCTTTTCTAAATTTTCATTCTATCCCTTAAAAATTTCTCTTGACCTAATCCTACTTTATTTTTCATTCTACTTTTCATTTGAAGCAATGATTTATCTATATCTCCTCTCGTCTTGCTCCAAACTCGACCCACTTTTGCTTTATTTCAAACTGACATGATTATTTACATATGATTCATATTTTATACGATTCATTCTACTTTTATCTCGCCGTGTGTGGATTTGCTCTCAATTTGACCTGACCCGATGTTACATTTTGCGCCCACGGAGAAAAACAGTTATTGTCTCCCATAACAGGAAGTGTAATGCAAGTATTATATACAAGTTTGTGTCAAATGATACAGTAATCTCATTTTTACGTTCCTATGGAATAACGGATTTGTTTTAAGTGTTCCGCAACAATAAGTGCGTATATTATACATATTTTTTTTTCTTTTTCAAACGCAAATTTTTGTCTCGCATTGTAAATTTTATTCCCGTGCAGTTAAATCTAAAATGGAATAAACATTATGGCTTATTTTGTAATTAACGCACTACTTTAGTGCGAGAAACACATTTTTTTCGACACAGTCATTTAAAACTAAAAATAAAAGAAATAAATAAAATGGAACATTTACAAATTAATTCTTCGCAGTGATCGCAATTTTTTAAACAAAATAAATAAAATAGAACATTTACAAAATTAATTCTTCGCCATGATCGCAATTTTTCAAATAAAATAAATTACAATTACAATTATTTATTTAGAAAAATAAATTTTTTATAGAGATAATAAATATGGAGCTAATAAATTTACATTGTTGATTGTTAAATAAGTAAATTATAAATGAATTTTACAAAAATAAATATTACAAAAATAAATTCTACGAAAATAAATATTACAAAAGTGAAAAAGAATCTTTCGAAAAAATTCCCTTTCGATTTTGAATAAATTGAAAATGTCAAGAACTGACGATTTGATTGAATGAAAAGTGATTTTTTTCTAATAATGAATAAAACATTAAAATTATTCTCATCATTATGTATAACGGTATAAAAATATTTGTAAATAATAATATATTCATAATTTCGATTTGTACCTAATTTTCCTCTAATTAATCGAAAAATTTTGTTGTTTTTTTCCAAAAACTTGATTTTTGTAAACAAGGAACTTTTTTAATTAAAAAAAAATTAAATCAAGAAAATTGCGGTACAGAAAATAGAAAACAATAATAAATAATAAACTGCACAGGATAAATAAAAAGACGTAAATTAATAATTTAAAGAATAAAGAGTAAATAAAAATGAATGATAAAAATAAATAATAAAAAAAATAATATCAAAAATTATAAATAATAACAAAAAAATTATAAATAAACTGAGAGAAAAAAATTGCAAAGCGTAAATTAATAAATAAATAAAGAGTAAATAATAATAAATATTAAAAAAACAGTAATAAATAAAAGAAAGTAAATTGATAAAGAAATAAGGAATAAATAGTAATAAATAAGTTTAGAAAAAATATAATTAATTAATAAGAGGAAAAGTAAAATAAACCCGTAAACGAACGCGACAAGAAAGTCGAGAACAATTTTGTTTAGAAATTATACTATATTATTATTTTAATTTAAAATTGTCATTCAATTTTCCTTTAAAATTGCTATTTAATTTGAATTTAAAATTGTCATTTAATTTTATATTGGTATTTATAGTAAAATAATATTTTATGATTCCTGTATTTGAAGCATAGTAACACACTTATACTTTCAAGTCAGTGACTTTCTATAATAGCTTGATTTATAATTATTGATGAAATCAAGTCTCTCTCTCTCTCTCTCTTTCCTTCTCTCTAATAGTGCTAGAATAATTTTCTCAAATGCATTTTTTATGAAACTAATAAATTAGCAGAAGATAATTTGAATTAAAATTTAGATATAATAAAAAAGAAAAAAAAGTGTGTGATCCGATGAAAAACTCGACTATCAGGTTTGCATGCACATCTTTCCGTTTGTACTGATTACAGGTTTGAAAAGTGAAATTTTCTTCATTGCATAATACCGGTATATAACAAAATGGGATTATTCAACTAGTTATTGTATTATTACATGTTCAACACCTAATTTTGTACTTGACGTAATGATGGAGACAATTTTTTTTTGTTTTTCAAAATTTAGAATATTTTCTGAATTTAAAATTAAAAATTTGAATTCAATTTTTTTCTTTAGAAAAAAAGTTCACACGTTTTTCTTTTTCTTACTTTGTTTTTTATTTCTCTTATTTTTAATTTATTTTCCTCCTTTTTTTTTGGCAAATTTTGCGAAATTTTCTATTTCTAAGAACTTTGTTTCGAAAACTAAAATTAAAAAAGAAAAAATTAATTAAAATCTCCTTCTGTCAAAAACTGATGAAAAAAATTAAAATTTGAAAAACTAATTTCTAATTCGGCAAAAATTTATTTTCTAATATTAATTCGCAATTCTTGAAATGATAATTTTTTTATGTAACGGGATCACATTGCAATTTTGTAATAACGGTGATGTAAATTAAACTAGATATTGTATACGTTATGTCATAATAAAAAATGTTAAACTCATTGTTCAAATGATTATGAAATGGTAAACATACATTATTCAGATATTTATAAGTTTGCAATCGTGCGGATAAATTTTTATTTTATTCTGTTTCAAATGAAACAAAAAATATAGAGAATTGAATAAAATTGCCAATAAAAAAAAAAGAAAAAATTGTGGAATTTTGAAATTAATGGACAATCAAAAAGTACTTTTACTTTCATAAGATTAGGCGCTTGACCTTGAATATCGAAAGGATTCATGAAGCAGCGTAATGAAAGTATAACTTTTCATATGATACCATGACCTACAAAACTAAAGAAATGTAACGTAAAAATAAATTTCTTAATTACTCTTCTTTATTTTAAGAGTGGTCACTGCAAACAAATTTTCTTGTAAATAAAAAATATAGCAAAGAAATATCGACAAAAAAATTCCATAGTAAAATTATAGCAAATATTATAGAAAAAATCACAGAAAAATTATAGAAAAAAATTATAGGAAAGAGAATAAATTTTCTACTAAAAGAAATTATCACTGGATTGCAAATTTTTGAACTGAAATTAAATATTAAAAGAAGGATCGAATATGACTTGCATTTTGCATGAAATTATTAATGAAAAATAAAAAACAAATTTGCTCCAAATGACAAATTATATAAATAAATAAATTGCGTAAGTAAATTACTATTAATGATTGAGAAAGTACTAGACGAGAATTCAATGCCCATTATGTTACATACATGACATTACATTTTCATTAAATATTATGTCAGGATTACTCTAGATCAAGAATTTTTCACTTCTTTATTCAAAAAAATTAATTTTCACAAACCAAAAAGATTATTTAATAAAATCATCAATCAGAAACGAAATTTAATTAAATTAAAAATAAAAAGCAATGAAATTTAAAATAAAAAGCAGTGAAATTTAAAATAAAACTCAAATTGAAAATCAATAAAAATTGAAGATGAGAAGCAATTAAATTGAAAATGAAAAGCAATAAAATTGAAAATGAAAATCTACAAAATTAAAAAAGGAAAAGCAATTGAATTGAAAATGAAAATCAATTAAATTGTAAACGAAAATCAATTAAAGTGCAAATCAATGAAATGCCAAATGAAATTCAACTTTAAAATAAACTGCAAAATAATATGGAATAAATTTAAGAAATCCGCGACCAAATTCAACTAAAATTAAATTCAGTGACGCAAATAGTTGATCCTGTCAAGGCCTACCGCACACTTTTTTTTTGCAAAACTAAACGAAATCTCGACATTTTCAAATGTCTCGATAAGTTTCACCTTTTTTAAAATTAAATAACGTTCAAATAATAAAAATTAGACAAAAAAGAAAAATATTTTCAATTGAAAAAAGTAATGAAAACATTTCACAATCACTTGTTCACAAGCACTTGTTTTTTTTTGCTCAATTCGGAAAACAAACAAAAAGACCATCCAAAAAGAAAATAAAAACCAAAATTTACATTTTCACGAAAAATAGGGGATGATGTTTAAAAAAGAAAATTTCTTTTCAACTATAACTACCTAATAAACATTGAGTCGGTTTATTTGATAATAAAGACTACTGCGCGGAACGCGCTTAAGAGACTGACTTTAAGTTCGAGCGGGTGTTACATGCGCTTTCCCTTTCTTTAGATTTTAAAAGAGACTGAATTGCCACATGAGGCTTGGTCTGGTCTCATGTTAAGTCATTCTGTTAAGCATGACCGGGCACACAAACACGTCATCGTCACGCATAGACTTTAATCAAAGATGTGTGCAAAACTTGATGGCATTGACGAGTTTTTAGTAAATTCTCTCATGAACAAAGAGTCAAAAGTCCACTAATCCAGAAATAAATGCAATTTTCTTCTATGTTGAATCTTCGCAGAAAATAAAAGACTTCCCATCTTTTTGCTGCTTTTTTTCAATTTTTAATCACTGGAAGACTTAAAAAAATGCAATTATTCGAACATTGAATAACAATACCAATAATAATAATAATAATAATAATAATAATAATAATAATAATAATAATAAAAATACAAATTTAAAAATTTGTTATTCCCAGTTCGTATTTTCTCACTTTCAAACGAAGAAATAGAAATTATGTAAAAGGATAGAAAATAAAATTTTTATAGCAGAAAAAATTTGTTTACTTGATTTTTCTCGAATAACTAAAGAAAAAAAAATTATCTTATGTACTGAAAAGTAAAATTACTTGAAGTACAAAATAACGGCGAACAATTATTAACAATAAATTTATTAAAACTTACAAAAACAGTAAGTGACAAATCTTTTAATTATTACAAATATTTCACTATAAAAAATATCTCTTTCATTTTATATTCTAATAAAATCTCTCATTCTCAAAATTTATATATATTATAAATTACATAGTTGTGCAAAAATTTGCGACAAGTTTTCTTTTCAATTAAAATTTGTTAATTGAAAATTTGAATTGATTTTTAATTAAAAAATTTTATTTATTTTTAAATAAAATTGTCAATAAAAAAATTAATTAAAAACGTTAATTAAATTTTTTAAGAAACGAACTATTGAAATCTTTGCCAGTAAATAAAACTTTTGCCAGCTTTTACTTTAAGAATTGAGAAAAATACTTGTCACAAATTTTTTTTACCTGAAAATTCATTCTGTCGGAGGTCTAATTAATATTTAGAGAATAAAAATTTTAATTTCTATAATTAAATTCCTTGCGAATCGGTGAAAATTAATTTTTAAGAGTCGTTTAAAAAAAATGCTTGCTTACTAGGAAAACACCAACTTTTTTCTTTTAGAGTTTTTCATTCATCTCGGGCACAACTTTAAAGAGATCGGCGACCAAACCGTAGTCGGCAACTTGGAAAATTGGCGCGTCTGGGTCTTTGTTTATGGCAACAATTGTCTTCGAATCCTTCATTCCCGCTAAATGTTGAATGGCTCCCGATATTCCCACAGCAATGTACAAATCCTAGACAGAGAATAATTGCTGTTTAAAAATGTAAAATATTGCCGAAAAAAGGCTAAAAAGAATATAAAGTGAGAAAAAGAAAAAAAGATACCGAAAAGAATATAAAACGCAAAAAAAAACCAAAAAGAATGTAAAATGCAAAAAAAGGCCAATAAAGAATATAAAATGCAAAAAAATGCCAAAAAGAATATAAAATGCAAAAAAAATTCTAAAAAGACTATAAAATGAAAAATAAACCAAAAAGAATATAAAATGCAAAAAAAAGAACAAAAAGACTAGAAAATGAAAAATAAGATAAAAAAATATAAAATGACAAAAAATACAAAAAAATAAAGTGCAAAAAGAAGTAAGGGGGCTTCGAAACTAAAAAACATTCCAAAAAAAGACCGCCCTTGGAGTAAAATTTTCAAGGTTTCACAGCAACTTACTGGAGCAACGATTTTTCCCGTTTGGCCAACTTGCATGTCATTTGGCACGTAACCTGCATCGACGGCGGCTCGTGAAGCGCCAACGGCAGCATTTAATTTATCGGCTAGTGTGTACAAAATTTGAAAGTTTTCACCCGACTTTAGACCTCGTCCACCTGACACAACGACCTTGGCCGACGCCAATTCTGGCCTATCAGACTTGCTCAATTCTTGCTTAATAAATTCGACTAAATTACATTTGTAATCGCCCGCGGGTGCTGTTTCAATTTTTGCACTGCCACCCTCAGTCGAGACTGGTTTAAACGCCGTACCACGAACAGATATTATCTTAACATTGTCCTTCATCTTAATTGTTTGCACCGCATTGCCAGCGTATATTGTACGCACAAATGTGTCCGGCGATTTAATTTCAATAACATCACTGGCAGGCGACACGTCTAATTTAGCAGCAATCTGAAAAGAAACACCGAAAAAAATTATTTAGTAATTTATTACTATTTCTATTCACTTTTAATATTATTTAATACTATTGTTTATATATTCTTACTTTTATTTTTATTATTCTTCATATATTTTTACTTTTATTTCTATTATCTATTCTTTATATAATTTTTACTATTATTTTAATTATTCTCTCTACCAGCATTTAAAAACAATTTTTAAAAGTAATAAAATTAAATTATTGCAAATATAAAATTTATTTCAATGAAATTTGACAAAATTTTTAATTGTTTCAATAAAATTATTTTCTGAACTTCAATTATCTTCAAAAAAAATTTAATTACAATTTATCAAAAACCTTATTTTTTTTAAAAAGAATTTCTGTATTAAATTGTTCAAAAATTTAATGATTTTTGTTAAACAATTATTTAGAAACTTATTATGTATTTACTTTCACTTATTTACTTATTATTATTTACTTTAATTAATTAAAATTTCAAACAATTTCAATGTAAAACCTTTTGAAATTTAATTACTTCCATAAAGTACAACTGCATTTTTCCAAAAGTGGATTATTTTTTTAGAATTTGTGAATATAATTATTTAAAAGTTAAAAACTTTATTTTTCAAAATTTCTAAATAAAATTATTCAAATTTAATTAATTTTTGTTTAATAAATATTTGAATACTTATTGTTTTTTATTTGTCCAATAGAAATTAAAATGTACATTAATAATCGTTGTATTCTACATGCTTCTTTGTTTCTAAACTTTTTTTTAATAATTTATCTTTTTAAAATGTTTTCAATTTTAAAATTAATTTAATGAAAATCATTGAATTCTTGCAAAGTAGAAAGTATTTATCAAAAAATATGAAATTAATTTAATTCATTTGAAGGATTTTATCAAAAATTTTTTAAATAATTGAATTCTTTCGAGACATTTTATTAAAATTGTATTGAAAATAATTGAATTCTCGCAAAGAATATTATTATTTATAGAAAAAATTGAATTCTTCCAAACAATGTTATTAAAATTGTACTGAAAATAATTTAATTGTTTTCAAGCTAATTTATTTTAATTTTTTTAAAAGCACTGAAGTTTGTTAAATAATTTTTATTGAAAATTTTGAAAATAATTAAAATTTAAATAAAGAACTTCTTTCTAGTTTTTAAAATAATCGTGCTCATTATTAATTGTAATTAATAATTTTATTCTTAAATTTTATTCAAATTATTGATATAAAATTAAATTTCTTTAAACAATTTTATTAGTTTTTTATAAATAATTAAATATTTTTAAAAGAGTTTCTTTAAATTTCATGAAAATAATGTAAAATTTTATTTTAATAATTTTAATTGAATATTTTAAAAATAATGGAAATTCACAAAGAATTTTATCAAAAAACTTTTGAGAATAATTCAATTTTTTTAGAAAAATTCTATTACAATTCATAAAAATAATTTAATTCTTCCAAAGAATGTTATTATTTATGAGAATAATTGAATTGTTTTAAAGAATTTTATCAGAATTTTTGAAAATAATTATATTTTTTGAAATACTTTTATTAAAAATTCTGATAAATAATTGAATTCAATCAAAAAATTTTACAAAATTATTTCAAAATAATTGAATTTTATATTATTAAAAAATAACTGATAAAATAATCGATTATTTCTAAAAATTGCTTAAGAATTCTTTTTAATTTTTAAGCTGAGAGACAAAACTCAGAGACTATTTTTTTTCTATTGCAAAAGTAAATAGATTTTTATGAAATAAAATTTATTCTAAATATTGAAAATACTTACTCGAGGTAGTAGCGCTTTACCAAAGGCACTTGCACCAGCGATAATGTGACTAAAATTTAATTGCTTATGAGTTGCCAAAACGAGAGGAGTAATTGATTCTGGAGTAAATCCTTTAAAAGCATCGCCTTCGGCGACAATTACTTTAGCGACTCCTGGTGCTTTAGTCAGTGCTTCGGATGCAGAACTACATTTCGTACCAGCTACCAAAACAGTAATGTCACCTCCAATTTTCGTAGCAGCCGCTAAGGCATTTTGTGTAATTGGAGAAAGAATTTCATTATTGTGCTCCGCAATAACCAATGTCGATTCAAAACGATGAAGAATCGAAGCGAACTGGAAATTTAAAAAGAATTTATAAAACAGGAAAGTAAATTATTAACAATTAAATTGAATTATTAGGAATTAAATAAAATTATTAATAATTGAGTCGAATTAGTAAATTATTAAGTTGGTGAACTATTAAATTGGTAAATTGTTAAATTGGTGAACTGTTAAATTTGTAAACTATTAAATTAGTAAACTATTAGATTTGTAAACTACTAAATTAGTAAACTATTAAATTTGTAAACTATTAAATTAATAAACTATTAAATTTGTAAACAATTAAATTTGTAAACTATTAAATTAGTAAACTATTAATTAACAGAATAGAAAAGTAAATTATCAAATAATTAAATCAAATTAATAAATTATTAAATCAGTTAACTATAAATTAGTAAAATTTTTTCTATAATAAACATTATTGATACTAGACAAAACTATTTTAATACAATTCGACAAAATTGCTTTAAAGTAGCAAGTTTAAAGTTCAAAACAATTTACTACAGAAATATTAAGAATTTTTTTTTAAAATGATATAAAAACAATAATTTAATAATTATGTGAAAATTAAGGACAATTATATAATTAACTTGATAAATAAAATCAATGTATAGATATAAAAGTGTGATATAAACAAAAAGGAAATATTTTTTGAAACAAACGAAATACTCACGTTGGCATTTGTTTTTAAAACTCTTGAGCACGTTGAAAACATTGTTTAGGGTAAATATTAATTATTGTAATTTGTGCAACAATAAAATTAAGTCAAATAACTTTATTTAGAGGACAATTTTCCCCTTTGTGGCACACAAATATTCCAGAGTCCAAAGTTTAGAAAATAATTTGACACTTGGTAATTGGTTGAGAACCACTTGTTCTCAAATACGTGTCGAAAATAAGATGTCAGCACGTGTTTCCGGAAAGAATTTTTTAGTGTGGCAAAATTTAAATTCTTTTTTTTAATTATTCAAAAAAAAATTATTGCAATTCAAAATTTATTTAAATTTTATATTTAAAATTTAAATTAATTATTATATGCTATATAAAATCGAAATTAATTTTATATATATAAAATAGAAATTAATTATACCTATATAAAATCGAAATTAATTATATCTACATAAAATTTAAATTTTATTAAGAATTTATTCTTGAGAAAATTTAAATTAATTTGAATATCATAAAATTTATAACTATATACAGATATATATGGAAATTATTAAAAAAAATTGAATTATTAATTATTGTTGCTTTTTTTGTCATTTAATTTGTTTCGGTTTTTGTTTGACGTTCTAAATAAATAATTAATTCACAGTGCCTGGTGAATGGAAACATATCAACAGGTACAGCTTTTACTGGAACTAAAGGCTCGCCGGAATAATGTTTCGAGTTTGCTCTTGCCAGATCGACCAAATTTTTAATTGCAGCTTTGGGATCGCAAGATATATAAACGAGTCTATTTAAATTTTTTGCTTTACGCAACGCCAAAAGTGCCCTTTGATCTGTGAAATATTTATTTACTTGATTTATATTATTTTGAAAACGAAAATAATTAAATTTGTCTCATTTCAATTATTTCACTCACTTAAAATTAATTCATTATCATTCACTCGAAATTTTATTATTTTGAAAGTAGAAATAAATAAATTTGTTTCAATTTAGATTATTTCAACTATTTAAAATTAATTCATTATTTTTTTGAGATTTTTTAGATTTCTAAAATTCTAATTCTAAAAAATTAATAATATTAACAATTAAAATAATTCGAGAAAAATATTTTCACTCACGTAAACCTGCTCTCGGTGGATCGACAACTGCCACTAAACTTGGTTTCGTAGATCGATGAATAACTGGCGATAAAATATCTTCAGCTTTTCCAGCGAAAAATTCACAATTTTTAACGCCATTTTTAATAGCATTTTCCCTTGCATCTTTTATGGCTTCCGGTATCATTTCCAAACCCAAAACCTCACCACAATGCTGAAAAAAATTTCGCGGTCACATCAAAGAAACTTATTTTAAAAAAATTACAATTAGGAAGATTTTTAACTTTTAGCGAGTTGATAATTTTTTTAATTCTTTTTCCAATTTACCTTTGAAAAAGCAAGTCCTATTGTTCCTGTTCCACAACAAACGTCAAGTAAAGCTGTGTCCTCATTAGGTTCCACTAGGTCAATTGCAGCTTTAAACAAAATTTCTGCCCCCAAAGTATTAACTTGGAAAAATGCTTGTGGCGAAATGCGAAAAGTCATTCCTAGTAAAATTTCTTCTATAAATTGTGCACCACTAAGATGCTCCAAAGCACAATTATCATCAGTTTTTCCAGTTCTGTAAATTAATTTAACAATAAAATAGTAAATTAATTTAACGCTAAAAAAATTAATTTAACAATATTAAAATAGTAAATTAATTAACGTTAATGTAGATTAAAAACTATTTGTAATATTATATAAAATAATTCATTACTTTCTGTCTAAAATTTGAAAATATAATGATGTAACGTTTGCTTCTTTTCCTCTTCCATTTTCAAAAAATTCTCTTAGTCCATCTTTCAATTTATTCAAATCATCTGAACTTAAATCTTGCGGATGAACTCCAATTATCAACATTAAATGATTCAAACGAGTTGTTCTCGCCGTAAGTTGCCTCCAATTGCCACTGTGATCCACAGGATTAAATACGTCTAATTCCGAACTGTGGATAAATTCTTGCAAAAGCTGAAAAAAATTTCCATTATTAAACAATTTCCACCACTGAACATTTAAATTAAACTAAAAGGATTTTCAATCAAACGAAAAGGAATTAAAATAAAACGAAAAACTCGAATTCAACGAAAAGAAATTTCAACGAACAAAAAATTAATGTAAAAATTATGAAAAAGTACCTTAACTGCAGATTTCATAAGTTCCGGAATATGAATTAAATCATCTATAGGACCAACGGCAGTCGATCCAGCAGCGTAACTCGATAAGCGAAAACCAATTGTTTTCTTTCCCTCAGTGTTCTTACCTGCGAGGGAAAAAATTATCCATCCATCCAAATTAATTATTTTTTATTTTTACTTTATTTTTTTCCGAATCAATTATTTTTATGTAATTAATTTTAATTTCCTCACCTATGGTAAATTCGCATTTATTTCTGTAACCCTCTTTTACATCTGCACTAAGAATTGACTGCAATTCGCAGGGTAAACCATTATGTTTACTTTTTTGAATATTCAACCAGTCATTTAAATTTTTATTTTCCTTCAACATCTGCTGTCCCAATTTTATTAAAACTGCTTTCATTTCCTTCTGCTTGAATTCCAACTGAAAGAATAAGAAACTTTGAAATAATCCAAACAAAATACGAAAAATAATCCAATAAAGTAATTTTAAAGTTTGAACCCCAAAAAGACTCAGAGAGATATTTTACCTGTTCATCATACGGCATATTCCAGAGAGGAACTGTCGTATTTTTTACACGATCTTCAAGGGAAATTTGTTCATCGTCATTGTCAGTTTTTAATTTTTTATTCGCTGCCTCTTCTTTCTCGAGTTTTCGCTTTATAAATGGATCGGGAGCGGGTGCTGCAGCCTAGTAAAAAAAATTCGTTTTTAACACTTATTTTTGATCTCTTTGTATAATATAAATATTATAGTACAAATCAAAAATATTATAGTACAAATATAGAATATTATTCTTGAAATTATTCTTTAAAAGAGACAAACTTAATTTTCCTTACGTGAGCAGTGAGTTTTCCACCTTTCCACGAACTCCCATGAAGTAATGAAATTGCACGTTTTCTATCCTCTTCATTTCTTAAACAAACATATAACCATCCGCTTCCTTTTCTCGGTGGTTTAACTTTACAAAAATTCAATTCCAATTTATCGCCTAAAAACCTTTTAAATTCACCAATACCGTAAAATTTCGGTAGTCCTCGAACTTCTATTTTATACTTTTCCGAAGTGAAATCATCCCGTTGTAGATAAGAATAAAGATTATTTTTTTCACTTTCACTTGATGAAATGACTTTTTCCCCAATTTCTTCTGTCGATGTCATTTTTTCTTTCCTAATAAAAAATATAAAATTATATCTTTCCGCACGTGTACAAAATATGTTCGATTTCACGTTTTTAAGTGTCACATAACCTCAACAACACAACACTGTAGAATAAAATTGATTAAATCCATTAAGTTCTAATTTTTGGCATAAACAATAAGACAATTTAACAATAGAAAAAATTAATATTTAGATCATTTGTTTCTATTGGGGTAAATTATTTTGAAAATAAACTAAATTTTGCAATAACAAATTTTTTGACAAATTTACCTTTAAAAAAAGAAACATTGGGAATGTAGATATAGAAGAAAAGTCTAGTGAAACGAAATTAACCGATGTGGATAAACTGTGAATAGCCAATCAGAACGCCTGATTCGAATGACATCATAGAAACGGGGAGAATTAATTGGCTGTCAATATTTTGGACTGGCGTTTCTGCAGTCATGTGATTTGGTCTTAATAAATCTCTCTCTACAGTTGCCCAACCCTGATTTTAACCGTTTGTCTTTTGAAAGCTTTTAAAAAACACGCCATGTATCCGTTATAGTGTCAGAGAGTGTGAATACAGTGTAAAAAAGCAGTCAAAATTTACAAAAAGATTTATTTTGAGTGGAGAACTTAACTTTGGATAATACCTTAAATAAACTTAACTTTTAGTTGAAAAAAACTATGTTAATTTGTTAATTTGTAGGTAAGAATAATTCAATATTCGTTCAAGATTTCTCTTGACATGAAAAGAGATAATTAGTTTTTGTAATAATTGTTAATAAGTATAAATTCATGTTACAGATAATGTTATTAATTTTTATGACAATATATAAGTGGATGTGATTTTAAGGAACTAAGGATTTAAAAGTATTTCGTACATTGTATTTTGCAATACAAATAAAAATCCATTATGGATGGTTTGGACGCTCCGCAATGGACTGATTTTACTTCAAGTCCCCAGGTTAGTTATTATTTTACTTCTAAATATATTAAGGAAGAATCCGACAAATAATCAGAACAAAAGTTATTCCAATGTCATAATTTCGTATTTTAAAAAAAAAGTCAAATTTTAAATTCCTTTTGGTAGAAGCGTAAGGAATTTAATTTTCTACATTTTGAATAATTTAAAGTTATATTTGAATACAAATTATACTTTTTTGTCAATAATAAAATATTTAAGTAACAGCAAATGTTTATTGTTATTAATTTAATTATTAGGTATTTATTTAATTTATTATTATTTATTTAACAAATGTTTCTTATTGACAGAAAATTGTAATTTTTATTCAAATGCAACTAAATTCGTCGCCTTTCACCAAAACGAATTTAAAATTTAATTTGATTTTTCTTTTAAATTACGAAATTATTACATCAGATTCTTCGTTAAAAAATAACAAGTTTAATTTTTAAAAATTCAAAATATTTTAACACTGAATTTCTTTTCTCCTATTTTTAGATGTCAGACGATTTTTTTATTCGACAACATCCAGAGCATGAATTAGAATATAATGCACGTTTTAAGCAAAATCGCTTAAAATACAAAGAGAAACCACTATTTTTAACTGATGATGAGAGTGCTTTTGATACTGTTTTGGATAAAGTGCAAATTACTCCAGTAAAAGTTCTTTCACCAAATAAAAACAATAAAGATGATAAAGTGCAGAAGGAAACAACCGTTGGCAATCTTTTACTCGAGGCAATGAACAATCTTGAACTTTCAACAAAGAAAAAACGTTTAAATCAAAGTATGGCGAATTCATCGATAAATAAAACTCCACAATTGACTGATAAAAGAATTACCAGATCAATGAAGGCGAGTATGAATTTTGAGAATATTTCCCAAGAAACATCCTCGAAGGTGAAATTAAATGAATCGCAAGTAGAAACACCGCGTAAGAAGATTGTAAAAAATATTCTCAACGAAGTGTCAAAAATTGAATCTACAACAACAACAATAAAAATACAAAACGTTCAGGAACAATCGATGGAACCGCAAATAATGACTGAACCTGAAGCAGATGGTAATTTACTACCCGACATTATTGTGACATCTAATTTATCAAAAACTGATAATAAACATACTGATAATTCAAAAGAAGAGGAAACACAAACTGTAGTGGAAACTGTCATTGAAACAAAAATTTCTTATCAAACGAGTAATTTTGATGAACCAACAACTTCAAAATCAACACAAGAAATCGACGAAATTGACTCAACATTAAATGACTCAAAACTGAAACCCAGTAAATTTGTTACATCCTGGTCAAAACCGAATATGAAAAAATTCAACGATTTAAAAGAGACGAAAAAATTGACAAACCCAGCACCCAAGAAGCGTATTCAAGTGGTGGCAAATTCAATCCGAAGAAAAAGTATTCTCAAACTAAAATCCAACGATCAATATAAATCAATGGCAGAATCGGTTTCTAAATTCCAAAAAGAAACTCCAAAACGCTTCCATTCGGTCTCCACAAAAACTAACAAACCCCAAACAACAAAACAGCCAGCAATGAAAATTACACGTCCCGTCTCTCCAAATTTAACATCAAAAAATCGAATCCGACCAATTAGGGTTCAAGATAAGACACAAAATCCAACGATTAAAAAATTACACAACGGACCAATTAAGGCGGATCCAAAAGCAATTTCAATTCAACCGGCTAAATTCCAAAAACCGAAAAAAATCGAAACCTACGAATCGAAAAAGGGACATTTCTCATCAACCGAATCCCTATCATCAACATCGCAAATTCACGAAACTACAGCTTCGCACTCAAAACTCGATCATTCGGTCCAAAAGAAACTCGTCCCAACAATTGTTTCGACCGACGACGCCAAACTCGCCGTCAAAGAAGTCGAAATCGGCCACTTTGGAATACCCACCGACACGAATCATAAACCGAAAAAATTCACCCGCGCCACTCCATTTAGTTTCGAAACCCGCAACAAGGAATTACAGCAAAAGAAAGAACTCGACGCGAAAAGAAAGCAACTACAGGAATTGGAAAAAAAAGATGCGAAAGATACTAAAGAATTTCTCAAAAAGAAAATAACACCGTTAAAAAATCACCGCGAAGTATCATCAGCGAAAAAAACAACTCCTCGACCATTTAGTTTCGAACAACGGGACAAGCAGCTAATCAAAAAGAAAGAGGATCTCCTCAAAGAAACCATCGAGAAAGAAAAAAAAGTACGTGAATTTCACGCCAATCCCCTACCACAATTTCGTCCCGTCATCGTTCGTGGTAGATCCCGCGAAAATCTCCGCTCCACCGAGAAAACACCAGAGAAAAATCATCAAAAACCAACAACAATTCCAAAAGTATGTACAATTAAAAAATCCCTCTTCCCTCAAAAATTTACCAACGATCAAGAAAATCAGCCCAACGCTAAACTAACAAGAGGAATATCGAGTGAAAAATTACACCCAAATAATCAAATAAAAAAAACAGTTCTCGGTGAATTGATATTAAATACCGATAAAAGGGCACGTGAGAGAAAAGAATATGAGGATCGTGTGAGAATGAAGGAACTCCAGGAGGAGGAGATGCGTAAGAAACAAGAGGAGGAACGTTTAATTCGTGAGAAAGCGGAAATTGCCGAATTAAGGAAAATGACAGAAACAAAGGCAAGACCAGTGCCAAAATTTAAACCATTGGCCATTATAAAGTCGACAAAAATATTAACTGATCCACAAAGTCCCGCCTGGGCTTACAAGCATAAAAAATTCTAAGTACTTTTTATTTTATTTTTTGCTTTATTTTTGATATTGTTTTTTTATAAAAATTTAAAGAAAAAAAAACACTATAATATTGCATTATAAATAAAGGTTTAAATAAAATTTAATCTAATGAGAAAAAAGAAATGCAAAAAAAAAATTTTGATCGTTATTTAGTGTAATTTTTAAATAAGGTGTAATATTAAGTACTAATATAATAATTACAATATGAAAGTGTATTCACAAAATTAGGGTATTTGTCCATAAAATAAAATGTTTTTATAAATATTAATTATGAAATTATCAAACCATTTTCCTTGGGACGAAATATAAATTGTTTTATGCTTTTTGTTAGCAAAAATTATTTTTTAAAAGTTTTTTTTTCATTCAGAATTCGGATATTGAAAATAATTGATTTTTTAAATATTTTATTAACTTTTTAAATTAAATTTTGAAGAATTTTAATATTGTAAATCTGGAAAATAATTTAATACTCAAAATGTTTAATGAAAAACTTGCAAATAAAAATTAATGAAAATTATCGAAATTTAAAACTATAAGTTTTAAAATTCAATTATTTTCTATATTTTCAATTACAGATTTCCAAAAAATTCAAATATCTACAAAAAAGTAATAATTTAATTAAAAATTAATAATAATAAAGTTAAAATTTTTTTAAAAATACAATTTTGAAGAATTCTAATTGTAAATATTAAAAATAATTGAATTCTCAAAAATTTGCAGAAATCTTCAAAATTCAGTTATTTTTAATTACAGATTTAAAAAAAACAAATATTTACAAAAAATTAATAATAATTAGGTTAACATTTCTTAAAAAATACAATTTTGAAGAATTTTAATTGTAAATATTGGAAATAATTGAAATCTCAAAAATTTTAATGAAAAGTTTGCAAATAAAAATTTATTAAAATTAACTTCAAAAAATTATACTAAAATACTTTTTAAAAGAATAATTTATTAGAATTTCTTCTCTATAATTTTCAAAATTCAATTATCATCAATTATATGTTTCGAAAAAATTAAAATATCTACAAAAAAATTAATAATTACTTCAAAATTTGTTTAAAAAAAACTTTATTTTAAAGAATTTTAATTATCAATTTTGAATATAATTGAATTCTCAAAAATTTGCAAATAAAAATTAATTAAAATTATCTTCAAAAAATTATTTTAAAATACTTTTTAAAAAAGTAATTTTTTAGAATTCCATTACTAGGATATAATTTTTTAAATTCAATTATTTTCTATATTTTCAATTACATATTTTTAAAAAATTCAAATAAGTTCTCAAAAATTTGCAGAAATTTTCAAAATTCAGTTATTTTCTATATTTTCAATTACACTGTACATATTTTTCACTGTAAAAGTATTTAAATTACTTTTTAAAATTTCTTCACTAGGGTATAATTTTCAAAATTAAATTATTTTCAATATTTTCAAAAATTATATGTTTCCAATAAAATCAATTAACTGCAAAAAATTTAACTAAGTTTTAATTTATTTTGCAAATTTTCTAATTTTTTACAATTAAAAAATTTATTGACTTTTAAAAATTATTCTTAAATATTTTTAAATACCTACTTAAATATTTTAGGAACATTTTTGTTATAATTTTTTAAAATTTACTTATTCTCAATATTTTCTATTTATATTTTCAATAATTCACCTTGATAACTTTAATAAGAAATTGTAAAAAATTGATCTTTTTTATTTAAATAATTGAATTCTCGAAAAACTTTTGAAAATCTTATGAAAAATAGTTAATTTAGAAAAGAATTTTAGTTAAAAATTCCAGGAAATTATTGAATATCGGAAGAAGTACATATCGTTAAAATTGTTAAAAACAATTAAATTTCAAAAAGGTTTCAAATGAAAAGTTTTGATAATTTCAATTACTTTTGTTAAAAAATTCTAAAAAACTTAATATTTCGAAAAATTTTAGCTAAATTTTTTTTAAATTAATTTAAATTTTGAAAATGTTTATAATTTTCAACTCGGAAAGCAAAAAATGTCTCAAGTTTATATTTTTATATCATCAAAAGAAAATCTGCCCTTTTCTTAAATATCCATTTTTAATTAAATACAATTTAAAAGAAATTTTCAAAGAACAATTTAATTTTTATTATTTCTTTCTAATTACAAAAAACAAGTAAAGAATAATAATAATAATAATAATATATATAAATTTCAAAAATTTATGTATTCAGTCATATAAACAAGAACTATTCGCTCATATACAATAGATCCTCTCATACAGGAACTATCATAATCATTTATAGATAATTAATAATTATCAAATGCATGTGTTCGTTATGTATTAGCAATTAATGTAAAAACTACAAACATTTTTTTTGTATTAAAAAAAACTTTTCGAAATTTATCATAAAAAATCGGTAATTATGATTCTGCGTTACTTTAATATTTTTAGAATAAATACAATCAACTATAAAAATATTTTATAAAATGCTTACAAGAATTTTTAACACGTTTAGAATAATTTATACTCGTAAAAAATTGCAAATTTTAAGTATATACTTTAAAAAATTCTTTTTATTTTCAAAAAAGAAAAGGATCAATTTTGAAATTTCATTTTATCTATAAGAAGAGAAAAAAGGTGTTAAAATTTTTAAAATCATTTTGCACTAAGAACTTCTAATAACATTAATATTATTATTTTTTTTCGTAAAATAAGATATGAAAATATAAATATTTTCTTTGTATACGTATAAAGAAAAACGAATACAAATTTTTTTTCAATCAATTTTTAAAAAGCAAAAAAAGGGGACGACAAAAATTCACTGGAAATTTTTTAATTATGCAAGTTAAATTAATTATCGATTCCAGAGTCATGTGTATATAAATTTTTTTTCCTTTTCCTTGCTTTAATATATATATAAATGTTTATATAAATTGGTGTTTCATAATTCATGGATAAAATTATTATCACGTTATTCGTCGTTAACTTGATTTCAACTTCAACAAGATTCTATATTTTTCTTTATTAATTTTTAATGCTTTGGCATTTTACTGAGTACGTTGTCATTTTTTATATTCTAATAAAATTGTGGACTTTTTTCTTCTAAATATACGAATAACGTGTGAAACGATAAAAATTTCCTCTTATCTATAATTTACGATACAACCAGTTTATAAGTCTGTGTACATATATATTTTCTTTTTTCCATATATATATACTGAACTTGAAGTTCCATGTTTTAAATATTTTCATCAATTTTTAAAAAACAATTTTTACTGATTATTAAATTTCTTTTAAAAGAGTAGATCTTGCATTTTTCAACTTATCTAATCTTCGTTGTAAATGGGTGTTGGCAGTTTCGAGTTCCTCGACACGTCCTTGTGACTCTCGGAACTGTGAAAAAAAATTTAAATTTAAATAATTTGGCGAAAAAAGAATTTTGTTTCTTTAAATCTAAATTAAAATATTTACTTATTCAGGGTTGCCACAAAAAATTAATTTTGATTTTCCCTGACCTGTGGCAACCCTGTTATTCTTTTGTTTGTTTTCATTTACCTCTCTTTGTAGTTTTCTTTTTTCCACTTTTAATTCGTCTTCGGCTTTTTCCGATGCTTCAGCGGCTGATTTGTAACGAATCACTTGACTCTCTAGCCTGGCGACTGTCGCCTGAAGTGTCGACATATCTTGCTCGGCTTTTTGTAGTTTAAATTTATAGTCAGCGATCAATTTATTGGCCTCGCGTTGAATATCCTCTGAATCTGAAAATCCACCTGGAGGAAAAGTGAAGAAAATATTGTACAAAATATTTATTGCAGTTTCTTTATTGTTGCTATCGAAGAGTTAATTTTACCTAACATCAAACCTGCAGTTCTTTCAGGCCTCATACGATTTCGTGCCTCTTCAACTTCTAACCTTAGGTGTCGAATTTCGTCCTGCAATTCCTTTTTCTCCGACGCGAATTTTCTTAACCGGACATCTAAAATAATTACAAATTATTATTTGCAGAAAGAAAAGAGAGAAAAGAAAAAAAAGAAAAAAGAAAGAAAGAAAAGATAAAAGAGAAAGGAAAAAAGAAAGAAAGAAAAGAAAGAAAAAGAAATAAAAATGAGAAAGGAAAAAAAGAAGGAAAATAGTAAAACAGTAAAAATAGAAAAAAGAAGTAAAGAAAAACAAACCTAAAGATCCTTCTCCGGCATTCTGCAATACTTCGGCAGCTTCTGTACTAACTAAAACTCTTTTTCTTGAACGAAGACCATTTTCTCCCTCCACTTCTTCACTGTCACTTCCTTCATCCTCAACTATTACTAAACCATTTTCCTAAATGGTAAAATTTAAAAAGTATTAATCACTTTTTCAGGAGAACTTTCTCTATTAAATTCTTAACCAGCTGGAGAAATTTGGTTAAACAAATTATTTCTCATATTTACCTGAATTAATGTATCTCTTTCTATTAATTGAGCTCTACACATATCGAAATCTTCCTTCAACCTTTGACTAACGCGTTTTAAATGCTCAGCGTCACGATTCTTTTCTCTCAATTCTCTTCGCAATTGCGCAACTGTCTCCTCTAATTCTTCTAATTTATCCTTCAATAAATCCACCTGATAAGCATAAGACGATTTCTCATTGTCCAATTGTGCATTTGCGATCATTGCTTTTCGAAATTTCTCCTCAAACTCCTTCAGTTCCACCTGTAAGTGTAAGAAATTTATTAAAATTAAAAAGAAATTAAAAAAAAGTTTCCCTTCCAAGCGTAAAAAATAATTTTAAATTGCAAAGAAAGAAAAGTCCCATTTCTAAGCGTAAGAAATTACAAAGAAATAAAACTGCGTCTAAGCGTGGAAAATTATTTAAAATTAGAAAGAAAGGAAAATTTTCACTCCTATAAGCTAAAGAAAACATTTAAATTTGCAGAGGAAATTATTTAAAATTAGAAAGAAAAAAAAATAATAATATCGTTAATATAAAAAAAATTTTTATCAAATAAAGAAAATTTTTTTAATGTAACATTTTCATTACCCTGGGATCTCTACCAAGGCCAGCATCCTCCAATGAATCTTCAGATGATCTTCGACTAGACTGAAAATTATTTGAATTTGCAAGTAGACGAGATGTTCTGATTGGATCTGGCGTAACTCTCATTGCGCGATTACTGTCGGCTGTAAAATTTTTATTGACATTTAATTAAATATTAATAATTTAATTTTGACAAAATTGAATATATTAATATTCATCCATAAATAATTACAGACCTCAGATCGATTTTAAAGAGAAAAAATATATCACTTTCGACGATTAAAAAAAAAAAATTGGTTTATTTTATTGGCAGTGTTATGACAAAAATTTCTTTTTGCATTTCCCTGACATTTCATTACTTTCAAAATTCAATTATTCAAAGATTTAATAATTTCCTTAAATAAAACTATTTAAATACTTATTTATTTTTCAACAGCAATTAAGATTTTTTTAATTTAAATTTCAAACATTTAAATTTAATTTTTTTCAAAAATTTTTAAACTAAACTCGAAATCAATTATTTTTAATAATTTTCCAAAAGTTTTTCCAGAATTCAACTATTTGAATACAAAAGATCAGTTTATTTGTAATTGTAATAATTTTAATTGCAACTCTAAGATTTATTTTTAAAATTATTAACATTAATCAAATATAAATTTCAAGTTTTTAATCATTTAAAAATCCACTTATTAAGTACATAATTAATTATTATTGTTATTATTATAAGTAGTAAAATTCTTCGCAAGAATTCAATTATTTTCTAAAATTTTAATAAATCCTTCGAAAAAATTCAATTATTTTTAAGAATAGTAAAATTCTTCGCAGGAATTCAATTATTTTCAATGCAATTTTAATAAAAGTTTACAAAAGAATTTAATTTTTAAATTTGTAATAAATGTTTTTAAAATAATTCAATTACTTTCTAAAATTTTAATTAATCCGTCTAAACAATTAAATTATTTTTATAAATAGTAAAATTCTTGGCAAGAATCAAATTATTTTTATAAATAATAAAATTCTTCTCCGAAATTCAATTATTTTCAATACAATTTTAATAAAATTTAATAATCAATTTTTTAATTAGAATTATTAATAGACACGATCAATTTAAAATGTTGTTAAAAATTGTAATATTATTTCTAAAAAATTAGATTTTAAAAAAAATTTTTAATGTAATTGTTTTTTGGAGATTTTTGAATCCTAGGAAATATGTAATTGAAAATATTGAAAATAATTGAATTTCAAAAAGTTTTAATGAAAGGATTCCAAGAATAACTTTTTATAAAAAAAATTTTTAATAAGTATCCTTTTTTTAAGTTAATTTTCATTTTTTTCATTAAAATATTTGAGAATTCAATTATTTTGAAAATTTACAATTAAAATTTCTCAAAACTTGATTTTTAAAATTTCTAATAAACTACTTGAAAAAAATCAATTATTTTAAATAAAATTTTATAGAATTTCAATTATTTAAAAACTTTAAAAAAAAATAACTTCAATTCTTTAAAAAAAATTTCAGAAGTTTAATTATTTGAGAAAAATTATTATAAAATAAATTTCGTAATATTTTGTTGTAATATTTAAAAATAAAATTAAAAAACTCGCTATTTTTTTCAAAAATTTAATGAAATAAGTTGCTTTTTCGGTAAATAGTCGAAAAATGCCCAAAAAATTCGTACTTCCCAAGGCCTGTAATTAATTTTACTTAATACTTGTATAAGGTGTACAATCAATACCTGTACACATGTCGTAGACACGATCTGCGTTTTCCTCAGCTTCCTTTTGCTGTCTCTCCAATTCACGCATTCGAATTTCTCTAGCTTCGGCTCTCGCTTGTCGTCTAGCTGCCAATCTCGCTTCTGCCTGTAATTAATTATTCATTTAATTATTATGAATTATTAATTTAATACTAAATTTTCGTTCAAATCAAACAAATATTTAAAATAAGCCAATCAACCAATTTAATTCTAAGATTCAAAACAAATTTTAACAAATAAAAAAATTAAAACAAAATTTATAAACATTCAGGTACAAATACAAAAGAGACAAGACAACAAAAAAAGCGAGAAAACACAAACATTCGAGAACAAAAAAATGATTCGAGAACAAAAACATGATTCAAGAACAAAAAAAATACTTCGAGGACAAAAAAAAAAAATTGGGAAGTTTAATGGCAAATTACCGATTTTAAGAAAATAATCTTTGTTTAGTAAAAAGTTTAAAGAAAGAGAAGAAAAAAAGGAGAAAAGTTAAAAAAAACTAGTCATACCTCTTTGGCAATTTGATCTAAAGCTTGATCTTCAGCAGAATGCCTTGTGGCAGTTCGTCTTCGTCCAGCTACCGATGACTCCATAATTTTCTTTTCTTTTATATATTTATTTTTCTATTATTTTTCTTAATTTACAATTAATGTTGCAATTGATATAAAAACCCAAGATTTGGTCACATCACCTCTAAATAAGTTTTTCACCACATCAACAGTCAACAGCAATATATTTCCAATTTTCCAATTTTGCTGCGTGGTGAATAGAATTGTTTAGTGAAGAAGCATGAAACTTTTTTCAAGGTAAATATATACATGTCACAGTGCAATTATAATCAGACTAATTAACGATAAACGTTTTTAAAATAAATTGATAATATTTTCTCCACATAAATAATTCTGCGATCTAAGTATATAATTATTTCCATTTTATTTTCGTTCGTATTTCGAAAAATTAAACTGCGACAAATGTCACACATTTCCGATGATAAATTTAACTAATTGTTTTTTGGAGTTGATTTTCTGATTATGGGTTTTTTCAGGGTAAGTATACGATGAGACCTCTGACGGAAATGTCATAGATTTCTTGTATATGGACTTTGAACAGCTCATGCAGGCAAAAATGGTTATATACCTTTTTTGAAAATACAGTTAAAAATGATGAGAAAGATAGAAAATTAATTGTTTTACCCATTGGATTCTTGATATAATTTTACATCATAAATATTCAAGTTTAAATAATAATTATAAACTTTGTTTTTAATAAAAAAATGTACGCAAAATAGACAAGAATTTGTTTTTTTTTAACCATATAATTACAGAGAAAAGAAAGAAGGTATTTTTAAAATTACCTATAATGCCTTATATAGACATTGCGAAATGACTGTAAGAAAATTTATTGACAATTCGAAATATTGCAGCTAGTGAGTACCTAGAGTGTTGTATATGAATAGATATATGAATAGTATAAAGAAAAAAACATATACGTGTAACTTTACACATAAAACAATCAGCAAAAAAAAAAACGACACATTGCACCTATGGTCATACACCCACCGCATGAGACATATACACAAAAGAGACGATGTACAAATATCTGTGACATAGTAAACTTGTTTTGTTGTTTTAATTTTTTTTTTCCTCTTTTTTCTAAATGTAAATTTAAATACTAGAAAATTATTTACTTACAGGTGTGTTATTCTCTGTAACTGATGAACGAGTGCATGATACTTTTTTTGTCGACTTCCAAACGTAAAAATAAACTTTCAGACACTACTATAAATATAATTGATGGAAATCGGATGATGACTTCTTCTTCTTCTACGGACCATCTGCAAATCGAATGTGATTTTGCACAAAATTTCCACAGTACTATCCCTTTTTATTGTCGGTTTATTTCAATACGATTATTATCAGTTTGTAGATAAAGTTTTTTAAAAAAATGTTTATAGGTATATTGAATTATCTAACAAATGCAGATAAAAAACCAAGTGCAGAACACCTTTCGGCGCTGCGAACACGAGTACATCTCTATACTCTGCACACATAGACATTCTACACACGGAAGTTTCTATGCGTCACCTTGTGGCCATTCACTCGTATTACGAAGTTGGAAGTACGAAAAGAGTGTGAACCAAGTTTGTCGAATTAAGCCTGTATCATTTTCTAAAAATGCGACGAAAATTACAGTAAATGTGTGAGTAAAATACATCTTATTACCTGAGGTACGTACCCAACCCTGTTAAAAAAAACCAATTTTTATGTTGGTAAGAACGGTTGGTAAGACAGGTATTTTGGAGTTTTTTCCTAAACAGATGGCGCTACTTTTGTGGCGGGAAAATTAAATTTTGAAAAGAGTTAATAATAAATTATTATTATTTATTATTAAATAGCAAAAAATAAAATAAAAAAATTGATATATAGTCAATTTAATTATTGATTATAATTCTATAAATTAAATATTATAAAGAAAATAAGAATTTCATGAATTATTAATTTTTAACTATTTTTCAGATTTTTCAGGTTATTTTTTACTTTACTATTTTTAACAGACGACAGACTATTTTTTCTCACAGATTTACAAGTGAAAAATAGTCGAAAATTATTTTCGTCCCTTTTCCAAAATAAGGGAAATCATTCGTTCGAAAATAATCGACAATGACGCGTGTGCAATCAACTTTCAATTCCCTTCTCTAATAGTTATTGTCATTTTCGAATTTTAATCGATACCGAAAAAGGACATTTTATACACATTAATTTCGAATTCTGCGCCAGAGAATATCGACCGCAAAATTTTATTGAAGAGAAAGCAACAGACGGTTCGTGAATGCGCGCGAGTTTAGTTCCAATTTCACGACAATTCACCAGACGAGCGAAATTATTACGAAAGTACTGTTTCAATTTAAACATTGTTATTGTTAACCGGTTCTTTTTTTGTTAGGAAAAAAACCGAAACATTTCCTTTTGTGTCCTTGTGCTTTCAATATAAAAAAAGACAATACTGTCAGTTTTTTAAAAACAAAAAATTTCCTAAATTTGTCAATACCTACATTTAAAGAACAAGTGGTTTTTTCGCCTCAGAATACGAGATTACAACAACGAAATATTATCGAATCTGCGCATGATAGAGTAACCTTATCATCCGTCCAAAGTCTTAATCAAAATTATATTTGATAAAGAAAAAAAAACAAATAACCGGCGAGATATTCGTATAAGTAATTTCCATTCACTCGCACTTTACAAAATTCGAACGTGTGAATTTTTCTTGTTGAGAAAAATTGAAAAAACAAAAACAGAAAAATGCCGACTTCAATTTTAATACAACATGTAAATACGGGAATTTTGACTGCTTGTCTCGTTGGATCGGCACTCTCCTATTACGCATATCATGTGGAAACTGCTAAAGAATTGGATAAATCGTACAAGCCCTTTTGTGACATCAGCGAACACGTCAGCTGTACGAAAGCATTTATGTCAGAGTATGTGTCACATTTATTCTTATGTATATATGAGAAATTGATTTATGCATTTTTCCAAACTAGTTTATAATCATTTCAAGGCTTTCAGGCATTTAATTAATAATTTAATTATAAGTTATTCTTGTAAAATCTACTCCAATTTTGTTAAATTATTTTTTAACGTTATTATAATGTTATTTTATATTAGAAACTTAATTATGTATTGAAATTGTATTTTCTATTTTTGTTGCTTACAATTTATAATTATTACCTTTTTAGTTAATGATTATATTTTTTTATATTAAAACTTAATTATTGAAATTGTATTTTGTTTTTTTAACAATTTTCAATTATTACACTTTTAGATAATAATTATATATTTTTATCGTATTTTCTATTTTTTTAGCAATTTACAATTATCATTCTTTTAGTTAATAATAATTATATTTTTGACAGTAAAACCTAATTATTAAAATCGTAATTTCTCTTTTTTTAACAATTTACAATTCTTACTCTTTTAGTTAATGAGAATTATATTTTTGACATTAAAACCTAATTATTGAAATTGTTTTCTATTCCTTTGTTTGCATTTTACATTTATTACATTTTTAGTTAATAATAATTGTAATTTTTATTTATTAAAGCTTAATTATTGAAATTGTATTTACTATTTTTTTGACAATTTACAATTATTACTTTTGTAAATAATAATTATATTGTTATCATTAAAACTTAATTATTGAAATTGTATATTCTATTTTTTTTTTTTTGCGTACAATTTACAGTTATTACCTTTTTAGTTAATATTTTTATTGTTTGATATCAAAACTTAATTACTGAAATCGTATATTCTCTTTTTTAACAATTTAAAATTTTTACGATTTTACTTAATAATAATTATATTTTTCACATTAAAAGCTAATTATTAAAATCATATTTTCTCTTTTTTTTACAATTTACAATTCTTACTCTTCTAGTCAATGAAAATTTATTTTTGACATTAAAATCTAATTATTGAAATTGTTTTCTATTTTTCCGATTGCATTTTACATTTATTACTTTTTTAGTTAATTCAAATAATAATTGTAATTTTTATTCAATAAATCTTAATTATTGAAATTGTATTTTTTATTTTTTTTTACCAATTTACAATTATTACTCTTTTAATTAATAATTATATTTTTAACATTAAAACCTAATCATTGAAATCGTATTTTCTATTTTGTTATCAATTTTCAATTATTATTACTGTTTTAGTTAATTATATTTATATTTTTTATATCAAAACTTAATTATTGAAATCGTATTTTCTCTTTTTTTTTAACAATTTACCATTTTTATGATTTTAGTTAATAATAATACTTAATAATTATTTTTTACAATTTTAATTGCAATATTTAAAACTTTAATATTAGATTATTTCTTTTCTTTATAACAATAAACAGAAAAATTAATTTTTATCTATTAAATTCGTTATTTTTATTTATTATTTTTTTAATTTAAAATTTTTTTTTTGTTAGGTATTCGACTATTATTTTTTTTTATTAAAAATTTAAATTTGATTTGCAAAACAATTTGGAATTTTACTACTGTAAATTGTTTGATTTTACGATAAAGTAAAATTATTATTTTTATCATTTATCAGTTACAAAAATAGAATTTCATTGCGCAGGTTGTGACACACTTGTTTTTAACCCGAATATTATTTCTCAGTTAAAATAAGGTATTTTTCTTTACCTTCTTCTTCAGAATTGTAAATTAAATTAAATTACAAATCGTCGAATTATAAATAATCCTAAGATTATTATAATTATGGTTAATTAATTTATGAAAATAATTAATTAACTTATAAGTAAAAATTAATTAATATAACAATAAAATCCACTTATTAATTTCTTTTTTTTAGATACGGAAAAGGATTTGGATTGGTTCCCGAAGATTCGGTATTGCATGTTCCAAACAGTATTTTCGGCGTTCTGTTTTACACCCTAATCGCCATATTAAGTAAGTAATTGCAAATTTTATAATTACAATTTTTATAAAATTTGAATTAATAGAAATTATTTTTAAAAAGTACAATACAATTTTTAAATTTAATATTCGAAAATTGAAAAATTCCTTCTTTTCCATAAACCGAATATTAATAATTGTTTTTGTAAAAAAAACTTACTTTAAATACAATTTCAACAATTATTTTTTAATAATAAAAAAATTATTATTTTCTCTAAAAACGATATTTTCTCCAAAAAATTATCATTTTATCTATAAAAAAATATTTCCTCCAAAAAATTATCATTTTCTCTCTAAAAAAAAAATTTCTTTATTCTTTTTCACAGGTTTTTTCAATCGACAACCATACACAGGAATATCAGTTGTTTTGGGATTATTCTCAAATCTCAGCTCAGTCTATCTCTCTTTAATTTTATACTGGTTAAATGATATTTGTCTTGTTTGCATTTGCACCTACATTGTAAATCTTGCAATTGTACTATTGACATTTAAAAAGATACATATCTGTTCGGCGGAAATTGCGAAACGAGAAAAAACGAAAAGAAACGCTTCAACGACAGAAAAATCGAAAAAACATTCAGACTAAATTTTCCATTATATATATTTTTATATATATATTTTTTTTATTATTTATAATCAATTCGATTCTATAAAGAGTTTTGTCGATTTTTTTTAATTTTTGAATCCAAGAAGAAATAATTATAACTAATATATAAATATATATTTTACCTCAAAGTTCTCTGCGAGACTCAAGATGTAAATAAAATAATTATTTCGTGAAAAAAAATACTACAGTGAAATTATTTTCGAAAAATTACTTCTATATTTATAAAAAGAAAAAAAACATTATTGTACATTGTATAAAAAACAATTATTTTAGTAACGAAAAATAATTATTTTAGTAAATGGAAAATAATTATTTGAGATGATAATTATTTTACACGTTGAAAGAAGAAATTATCGACTAACTTATTAATTTACAACTGAAAGTAAATTGCTGTTGACTATTTTATTATTTTACATATTATTAAAATATTAAAACTAGAATAAAACAATTATTTAAAGGGAATACCTATGCATTTTGTATATGGAACAAAAAATTTGTAGGAACAAAAATAACTCAGGAGAGACGGTATTATACAAATATAGAAAATTCTACCTGAGGAATTATGATATCAAAAACCCGTGTGAGATTTTATTTTTCAATATATTTTTTTTTTAATTAACTTGAAAATGTACAACGCTGATTAACAAGAATCTTTAAATATGGCCTCTGTTTAATAAAAACTTTTAAACGAAAATAAATAAAACTAAAAAATTATGTTTTCTTCCTTTTCTTTCTTTTCAACATTCTTTTTTTCAAAACGACGAATCGAACATTTAAATTTCCTTTCTTTATTCCTATTTTCAAACTTATTCTTTAATTTCTAAATTTTGTTTTAAATATTTCTCAAATTCCAAATTGTTTAATTTTTTTTCTATTCTTTTTAAAAATTTTTCTTTTCTTTTTTTTATTTTTAATTCTATAATTAAATTTTTAATTTCTTTATGTGAAAAAATGTCTTCATTTGACAGATAATTTTTAGACAAGACTGCAAAACTATTTGTAAATTTTTCGCAATAAAATTTAATTTTAATACTTAAAAAGTTCGTATACGGTAAATTTTAATTTTTCTTTTCTTTTTGGAATAATAATTAAAAATCCTGTTTTAGATCCCTGTTACTGCGACTTATACTTGCTAGAATTCCGGGACTTTTCAAAGGAGGAGTTTCGTCTAACCGATTTAATTGTGAATTGGATTTATAATGAGTGCTGGGCGAATAACGATCGGAATAATTTCTGTTTGCTTCGACATTGAATGATTTACTGCGTGAGAGAGACGATTTATAAGTTCTGTCCGGCTTTGTTGGACCTTGAAGAAGTGTTTGAACTGGTTTTGCATGACCCACATTGTTCTTAAAATGAATATTAATCATACTTCCGTATCTTTGATTATTACCCAATTTGGATGACAGCAAACTTCCAAATTTTGACTCATTTCCATTTCTAATCTCATAATGATTTCCATTTCTTGTCTCAAAATGATTTCCATTCCTCGTCTCAAAATGATTATTTCCATTTCTCATTTCCAAATGATTATTTCCATTTCTCGTCTCTAAATGATTATTTCCACTTCTAATCTCATTCAAATAATTCCCACCTCTAATTTCAATTAAATGATTTCCATTACGAATTCCATTAAATTCATTAGAATGATTTCCATTACGTGAATCATTGACTTGATTCTTTGTAATTCTGGATTCATTGAGATGATTCCTGGATATTTGTCGCCTACGCTCCGAATGTCCGGAAGTGTGAAGCTTCCTGGGTAAAGTTTGAGTACTGCGAAAATGTTCTTCCCTCTCATATTCACTGGATAAACGACTGGCGGATTTGCTAAAGCGGCCCAAAGAATTTGACTCGACACTGAAATTTATGAATTGTACTTTCGGATACGACTTTTTTTTTGTTTGGAAAATTTCGTAGCAATGATTAATCAGCGTTTGTTTTTTTTTTAGAGAAAAAAGATATAAAAAAGATGAGTCAAGTTTTTGATTCTACTAATACGTGAGGCTTACTCGAAAATAAACGAGGTTCTATTTCAGTCGCTCGTTTTCAGGCAGAAAAGGCTCAATGTCACTGGATCTCTTTCGAAGCGAAGGCCCTCGATCTAACACCAAACAAAACCAAATCACCATAGTTTATCCAAAAAAAATACTACGAAATTTCAACATGCTGGTTAATTGCCAAAGCGATGATTGTTATCCATATTAATTCTAAATTATTTTCTTTTTCTTTTAATTTTCTTTACTTCTTTGAATGTTAATGGTTCACTTTTTGAAATTGAATTCCAAATATTTGTCAATTTTTTCTTTTTGAAATACTTTTTGAATACTGCTTTAATAATTTTTTACAACACTTGCAAAAAAAAATCGAAAAAGAAAATTGTAAATTAAAAATACAAGAAAATTCCATATCCAAATTCGAAAAATAAAATTTAAAATTAAAAACACAAACAAGAGAATTTTTAATTCGAAAAAGAATATTGATAATTAACACGAAAGTTGTTTGCTTTTTTGTTTCCTAAAACTTTTTAAATAATTTTTCTTTTCAAATATTTTCAATTTTAAAAATAATGTATTAAAAATCATTGAATTCTTGCAAAGGATTTTGTCAAAAAATTTGAGAATAATTGAATTCCTTCGCAGAATTTTATTATTTATGAAAATAATTGAATTCTCGCGAAGAATTTTATTATTTAAAAATCCTAATTAAATTCTTTTGAAGAATTTCTTTGAATCTCTTTGAAATATAATGGAGTTTCTTTGACAATAATTTAATTCTTTCAAAATTTTTCTCTAATTTACTGAATATAATAGAAAATAATTGAATTAACCAAAGAATTTTTTTCAATTTTTTAAAACAATCGTGTCTGTTAATAATTATAGTTAAAAATTTGATTATTAAAGTTTATTAAAATTGTATTGAAAATAATTGAATTTCGGAGAAGAATTTTATTATTTATAAAAATAATTTGATTCTTGCCAAGAATTTTACTATTTATAAAAATAATTTAATTGTTTCGACGGATTAATTAAAATTTTAGAAAGTAATTGAATTTTTTTAAAGAATTTTACTATGTATTTATAAAAATAATTGAATTGTTTGAAAGAATTTATTAAAATTTTAGAAAAAATTGAAGTCTTTAGTGAAATTTTATTGAAACTAATTGAATTTTAGCAAAGATTTTACTATTTGAAAAAAATAATTGAATTGTTTCGACGGATTTATTAAAATTCTTAAAAATAATTAAATTATTGCGAAGATTTTACTATTTAAAATTTAAAATTTTAGAAAAAAATTGAATTCTTTAGTGAAATTAATTGAAATAATTGAATTGTTTCGAAGGATTCATTAAAAATTTTTTAAATAATTGAATTTTTGCGAAGATTTTACTATTTAAAAAAATAATTGAATTGTTCCGAAGTATTTATTATAATTGTAGAAAACATTTGAATTTTTTAAAGAATTTTAATATTTATTTTACTATTTATAAAAATAATTTAATTGTTTCAAAGAATTTATTAAAATTTTAGAAAAAATTGAATTCTTTAGTGAACTTTTATTGAAATTAACTGAATTTCTGCAAAGATTTATTAAAATTTTAGAAAAAAATTGAATTCTTTTGTAAAATTTTTTAAAAATTTTGTTGAATATAATTGAATTTTTGCAGAAATTTCTTCAAAAATTATTATTTTTAAATAAAAAAGTTTTGTATATTGGATAATTATAATTTTTACAATGAAGCAACAAATTTTTTTTGCAGTATTTTCAAAAAATTCAAAAAGCTGAATCAAAAAGTATACTTTTTCCAAAAAAATTATTTGATAAAAATGCAAAAGAAAATTGAAATTCAACCCTTATTTTCTTATCAAACAAATAATTTTCGTTTCAGAGAAAACAATCCAAAGAAGAATTAAATGTTTAAATTGAAAAAACATTAATCAATTAAGAGTTTTGGGAAAAAAGAATGAGTTTACACTTTCTAATGAACAAGTATACGACATGTAAACATATAAAAATCAGAGAAAAGATCTAAAAGGCTTCATTCATTCTTTCTTCCCACGAATACTATATTTTTTGTATGAACCTCGAATATTAATCTCAACTCGTTATCTTTAAAACTTTCTCGAGATTTAATTATGGAGAAATATATAAAATGACTGCCCTCTAAAAAGATAAACACTACTCACTTTGATTATTTTTGAATTTCCGCATTTCTTACACAGACAAGAGAAGAAAAAAATAGATAAAAAAAATTCATTTCGGAAATTAAATGAATTTTTGATATGAGAAGCAAACAGGAAAAAACGAATTTTTTGAATAAAGAGAAATAAAAATGACGATTGACAAAAAGAGAGATAGAGAGAGGTAGAGAGAGAGCAAAAAATGTTAGTTAAAAAACCAAATGAATAAAAATTGCCCTTGAACAAAATAGAAATAAAAATTCTTACCTGTATTCAGTCTCAATTCCCGATTTTCCCGATGTTCGATGTCTTCCATGTGGTTTTGAATTTTCGTATCCCTTCTCCTTCCCATAAATACTTCCTCCGAAGGGATCTTCGCCTAAATAATACCTTTAGGCAGACCATTATTAATTAATTAATTAACTATTAAATAAAGTAAATATTACAAAAATAAAAAAAAGAGTGAAATCAAAAACCAACCTTTGAACAGGAGGTACAGATTCATTTCGATGCCATTGTTCCTTGGAATTATAGTCATGCATTTTTGTGGTTTTAATATTGTGAGAGACTGGTGTATTATTTCTCGGCGAACGTGGAGGCCTCTCAGGTGGTTTATCATCCAAATCATAATCCGGACCAAGGGGAATATTCTTATCGACACTATTATATTGCATATAAGTTGGAGTGTCGTCCGTTTGCGTTACTTGTGACGTTGAACTTCCGCTTTTTTTGTTCTTTCTCTCACTGCTTGCCGATCGTAATTTACCAACTAATTTTCTAAAAGATTCTCCAATTTTGTATTTCGATTGTCCGGAAGCTGTAGAATTCAAATTGAAAATTAAAATTTATCGAGTGCGAGAAAAAAGTCGTCTTCTTCCTTATTAGTTTTTTTTCTACATAAATATAAAAGGAAACGGAAAAATTGAAGAAATCAAATTTTTAAGTGCTTCTTTAATTTTTCCTTTTCTATTCATTTATTTATATTTATATTTTCTATTAATTTTAGAGAGAAAAAACTAAGAAGTAAGGGAATTTATTTTTTATATTCAATAAAAATGAAAAGAAAAGTGAAGAAATTTTTGAAAAAGAAATCGAAGTTTGCTAGCAAGCGAATCTTTTTTTTCTTTTGGTAATACTAACTCTTAGAAGTTCGAGTATTTTCCTGTTCAAAGATTTTCTTATCTTTCTTTGGAGAAGTAGCTCTGGGAATTGGTGAAATCGATCGCGATCTTGGTACATATAACGTTTTCGGCTTAACTTCTGGACTTTGCCTTCGAATCTCCCGATCCATTTTCTGATTTTGTACATCTTTGTTGCGACTTTCCCAAGTTCTCTGCACCACGAGCACCGGACTCGATGTCCTATTCGTCGTCTCGTAACTGCATTTTTCCTCTGATTTCTTCTTTTTTTCGGGAAAAATTCAAGTTTGTACATAATAATAAGTTCTTATTAAATTATACACTTTTTATAAGTTCTTATTAATTTATATACTTTTTATAATTTATATACTAATAAATTCTTGTTTTCAAAATATTATCTTTTTAAAGACGAAAATATTGAATCTTCTGTATTTTAATAAATACCACAAAGTAAATTAAAGTGTAAATTAAAAAGTAAAAAATTGTCAAAATCATGATATTGAAAAAGATTTGAAGAAAATTAGGAATCAAAGATTGTATACCTGCTCACGAACTCTTCGTCGAAGAGGAGGCGATGGAGCTCCATTTCTCTGATGTTCCGAGGAATCCTGCCTCTCCTGGTGTCGTTTTGTCTCTAGTGTTCTCGAATAAGACTCAACGTGATTTCTCGTATTATCCGACGGGAAATTATCCTTTGACTTTCCGTTTATGTACTGATCCGGTGACGAGGTTTTCACGTGATTATTTTTCTCTACAATGTACAATGTAATAATTTATTAAAAAGAACTAGCAAATGTTACGCGCGCGGAACGTGATGTTCAATTTATTATTATGCAAATTACAAAATTTTTTATTTTCAAATTTTTTTTTTTTTTTTTTTTTTGCTTAGGGACTTTTGGGAAATCTGCCTACAGATACCTTGGATTCCGCACTCCAAGGTTATGTGGGGTTGGTGTGATAAAACAAAAGGAGATAAAAAAAGAAAAATAAATATATAAAATAGTAAATTTAATAAACTGGCGACCTACTGCCAGCCCGACCCACTAAAACCCGTAACCCTTCTTCTGGAGCCCTTTACCCTCCCTCGGAACTGTCGTAAGACTTTAGCCTTCGAGGGTTTATTTTCAAATTTAAATTTTTGTATAAATTCATAATCAATATTTAAAACATTCACTTATTAAGCACATATTTAATTATTATTGTTTATATTTTCAAAAATGTTAAAATAACACTTCGCAAGAATTTAATTATTTACATAAATAATAACATTCTTCGGAAGAATTCAATTATTTTTATAAATAGTAAAATACTTCGGAGGAATTCAATTATTTTTAATTCAATTTTAGTAAAATTCCTCGAAAGAATACAATTATTTTTTAAAATATTAAATAAAATTCAATTATTTTCAACAGTTTTTATAAAATTTTTAAGAAAAATTGTTATTCTATGAATGCTTTTAACCAAATTTTAATATTAAAATAATTAATTACAATTATTAGCCAAATTTGAAACAATTCAATTATTTTTTTAAATAGTAAAATCTTCGCAAAGATTCAATTATTTTAAAAATTTTTATTAAATCCTTCGAAATAATTCAATTATTTTTTTAAAATAGTAAAATCTTTGCAGAAATTCAATTAATTTAAATAAAATTTCACTAAAGAATTCAATTTTTTCTAAAATTTTAATAAATTCTTTGAAACAATTTAATTATTTTTATAAATACATAGTAAAATTCTTTAAAAAATTCAATTATTTTCTAAAATTTTAATAAATCCTTCGGAACAATTCAATTATTTTTTTAAATAGTAAAATCTTCGCAAAAATTCAATTATTTAAAAAAGTTTTAATGAATACTTCGAAACAATTTAATAATTTTTTTAAAATAGTAAAATCTTTGCAGAAATTCAATTAATTGCAATAAAAATTCACTAAAGAATTCAATTTTTTCTAAAATTTTAATAAATTCTTTGAAACAATTCAATTATTTTTATAAATTTATAGTAAAATTCTTTAATAAATTCAATTATTTTCCAAAATTTTAATAAATCCTTCGGAACAATTCAATTATTTCTATAAATAATAAAATTCCGCGATGAAATTCAATTATTCTCAAATTTTTTGTCAAAATTCTTTGCAAGAATTCTATGATTTTTAATACATTAATTTTAAAATTGAAAATATTTGAAAAGAAAAATTATTCAAAAAGTTATAAAAAACAAAAAAGCAAACTGCGAACAGATTATCGGAATACAACGATTATTAATATAGATTATTATTTTCTAAGTTTCAAAAATTATAAAAAATATCTATTTAGCATACTTTGCGAAAAAATTATAAAACTATTTATTTACTATATTTAAAAAAAAATTTCCAATTACCAGTAGTCTGATGTCTTTCAGACCATTCGCTGATTCCCTGAAAGTAACCAACTGGAGATGAGGAATCTCGACCAGAGGTACGACGTTGTGGACGACTAGAATTTGAATTTTGAAAATCACGATCTCTTGTGTTGCATGATTTCATTGTTACGTTGATGAAACTCGTGTTGGTGCCAGTGTGAATTGGAGGATCCTCATCCAGTGAGCCATGAGATGATCTCGAATCACTGCCAAAGTGACTCTCGAGCCATTTTGAAGTCTCAAATTTTCTCGCCTCGTCCTCTTCCTCCATGTCGAGGGGCTTTTTCGTCAGAGCGTCCTTCCTCGAAGCTGGAGTTCCTTCTCCCACGGAACCTTCGAGGTAAAAAGTCTTATTAAATTCCTTGTCAATCAATAATCCTATTCATTAATCCTATTTTTTTTTATTTAGTAGTTTAATAAAAAGAGAATAGAATCGTATATTTTTATTTTTTCTATTCAGTAGTTTAATAAAAAGAGAATAAAACTGTATATTTCTGTTTTTTCTACTTAGTAGTTTAAAAGGAGAATAAAAACGTACATTTCTATTTTTGCATTCAATAATTTACCAAAAGAGAATAAAATCGTGCATTTGTATTTTTTTATTAAAAATGTAGTTTTTTTTCGATTTAAAAGAGAACAACAGTAGTGTATATTTTTATTCTATATTTTTTTTATTTAATACTTTTTTCTAAAATAGCAGTTTTTTTAAAGAGTTTAATAGTTTTCGAATAGTTTTTGTTCCATTGAAAAGGAGAGCAAAAAATATATATTTCAGATTTTTTTCTGACCTTGTTTATGAAGACGATGGGTACGCATGGTGCTCGGAGGAGGAGGCCAATCTCCAATTCGTTCACCTTCTGTCGTTTCCGAGACGTAGCGCATTTCTCGTGCAATCCTTTCTCCACCTGAGACGTAATCAACAATATCCTCGTCTCTCGTTTTCACGAATCTCTGAAAGCTTTCCTTTCTAGTCTCCGAAGCATTATCCCCATTGCCTTCCTTTCCGTCTGGTACCTCGTCGTCCTTGATCTAAGGATGATATTTCACATTACTTCATTATATCATTCCCTTCTATCTATTTTACAATTTTCTATTTATTATGACAAAAAAGTCAAATTTTTTATACAAAATTCCAAAATATTTTCTACTGCAATAATATTCAAAAAATAGAAAATTACTGGAATTTTGTAATACGAGAAAAATATAAGAAATACAAGAAACTACAAAATAGAAAAGGAAAAATTTGTTAAACCCTCATGTAAATTAATTAAATATTCTACCCCCACTATAAACGGAGGGGTTTTAATTAAACTTCTATTCGAATGGAACAAAATTTACGAAAGTAGAAAAAAACGAAAAAAAAATTGCAAAGAAGAAATCGAAAGGTATTCAGCGGAGCAAGAAATGAATGAGTCGTCTTGTTTCATGAATGAAGTTGAAGAAAATTTTCATTGAGCGATACTTCTTTTTTTTTTTGTTGAGAATCATCAAAACGGGGTTTTCTTTGGGGCCGTCAAAAATATAAAGTCCGAGGGGGAAAAAAATGAAATGAAGGGAGAAATTACTCCGAGCGTCTACCTCTTCGTGTTCGATAGTTTTCTTCTTTTCGGTGACGATCTGTCCGTTTGCTTTGAGCTCACTTCTCTCCAGCGTTGTTTCAGTGTCGACGACCTTGTTCGACCTCGTCGAATGGTGCACAACTCGGGGTCCAGTTTGTGGAGCAAGCTGCTTCGAGGATTCCGCCAGAGCAATTCTCAAATCGCCCTTGTTGCTCCGAATTGCCTGCAGGTAAGCCTGAAAAGAAATGAAGAAAACTCTTTTTACAAATTTTCATCCAAATTAAAAATAATACAATTTTTCCTACTTTTTTAATTTTAATTAATAAATTTCACAATCATATATTCTTTTCTTTCTTTTTTACCTTTTTTCAATCCGAATTAAATTTGTGTAATTTTTTTCCAATATGACAAAAATTGAATTTTTTAAAAATCTGGAATATTAAATTTACTGAGGTGAGAAAGAAAAAAAAAATTAAAAATCAAATAGTGTTATGTAATCGAGTAAAATTTCGCATTTTTACTGCGGGAGTAATTTGCAGGCATAAATTTAAATTACAAAAAAGTAAATAAATTAGTTTCAGTGGAAACAGACCGATTCATTGCAACAATTTCCCTTTTAAATTTGCTCCAAAGACTTAGTTTTCACTCACTGGCAATCAACTTTAAACAAAAGACAATTGGTTACTTTTCTTTCCAATTTAACTTAATTTCAATGGGACTAATTTTCTCAATGTCAGCGGTTATATTCTATTTTTTTACTATCTTCTAATGATAGGAGGCTCAATTTTCCGAGGGGAATTAAATTATCAGAGCGATGACTTGATGAAAACGTCGGATTGCTTTAATATCAATAAAAATACAAAAATACAAAATAAAAAATTCGAAATAGAAAATAAAAAATGAAACATAGGAAATAATAAAATAAAAAATAGAAAAATACTATAATACGAAATAGAAAATAAAAAATACTGAAATACTAAAATACGAAGCAAAATGGAAAAAATAGAAAAATACTAAAATACTAAAATACGAAATACAAAATAAAAGATAGAAAAATACGAAACAGAAAACAAAAAATACAAAAATACAAAGATTGAAAAATATAAAACAGAAAATAAAAAATAGAAAAATACTAAAATACGAAGCAAAAAATAAAAAATAGAAAAATACTAAAACACTAAAATACGATATAGAAAATAAAAAATGAAAAATAGGAAATACTGGCAAAAAATACTTAAATACTGAAATACGAAATAAAAAATACAAAAATACAAAACTACTCAAAAATATAAAAATACAAAAATACGAAAGAGAAAATAAAAAATAGAAAAATACAAAAGTACTAAAATACGAAATAGAAAAAAAAATACTAAAATTCAAAATTGAAAATAAAAAATACAAAAATACAAAAATACAAAACTACAAAAATAGAAAAATAATAAAATACGAAACAGAAAATAAAAAATACGAAATAGAAAATAAAAAATGAAAAATAGGAAATACTAAAATACGAAGCAAAAAATACTAAAATAATAAAATATGAAATAGAAAATAAAAAATACAAAAATACAAGAATACAAAAACACAAAAATACAAAACTACAAAACTACAAAACTACAAAAATACGAAACAAAAAATAAAAAAATACTAAAGTTCTAAAATACGAAATAGAAAATAAAAATACTAAAATTCGAAATTGAAAATAAATAATACAAAAAGTCAAAAATACAAAAATACGAAATAGAAAATAAAAAATACAAAAATACTAAAATACGAAATAGAAAATAAAAAATACAAAACTACAAAAATAGAAAAATACTAAAATACTAAAATACGAAATAGAAAATAAAAAATACAAAAATACTAAAATACGAAATAGAAAATAAAAAATACTAAAATTTGAAATTGAAAATAAAAAATACAAAAATACGAACCAGAAAATATAAAATACAAAAATACAGAAATACAAAATAGAAAATAGAAAATAAAAAATACAAAAAGACAAAAATACAAAAATACAAAAATACAAAAATAGGAAACAGAAAATAAAAAATAGAAAAATACTAAAATACGAAATAGAAAATACAAAAAGCAAAAATACGAAATACTGATTAAAAAAAATATTTCATTTCGAAATTGTAAAAAAATTTGATTCCAAATGGAAAAAAGGAGCAAATCACGAAAGAGGAAGCGGTACCAATGTTCCTATCGAATCAATCAGAATGCGCACGATCGAAGGAGGCACACGTGAAGAAACTAATCCTGAACCACATAAATTTTCTTTTTTTCCCAATTATTTCATTCTTTGCGAATAAAATAAATTAAAGTGTTGATTCCCCATTTTTTTTTTGAAGAAGAATAAATTTCAAAACAGGCAAGCTAGGATGATTTTCGCTAAAACGGATGAATCGCACGAGTCAATTCCGGAGACTGTGGCTTCATCGCCATTGGGTGAAGGGAGAGCAAAATCGAGAGATTATCAGAGAGGACTTGCCCCACCAGGTAATCCTTAAAGTCTCTCTCGACGAAGTCCTTTCTCTTTCTCTCCTGCTGCATATGCGCTTCTTGCGCGATTCACCTTCTCATTCGCAGCGCTGTTGGATAGCATGTAAAGGTACCTGTTCCCTTCTTTCGCAATGGATCCACTTCTCGCACACAAGTATTTCTGTTCTGCCTCTCTTTTTCATTCTGCTCTCCTTCTTCTTCTTCGTCTTCTACGTCTTCGTCTTCGACTCTTTCAACTCTCCTTGTCCTCTCACATATAGTGTGTGGTACAGCCAACCTCCCTTGAAGCAGACTTCAGCATAGTTCTCCTCTTAATATATCAATCTATGTGTCTCTAAGCCTCTATTAAGATCCATTCTTCAACCTTATCTTTACACAAATTCCACTGTGGGCTTTTTCTTCCTCTCCTTTTTTCCATATGGGGATAATTCACTGTAAGATCAGACAGATTAAAAATATATTCTTTATCGATTTAGTTGATTCTGGCATTTTTTTTCTACCAGTTGCTAATCGCTTCGATTTCGCTTTCGATTTCATTGTTTTTGTTATTTATTGACGATTTTAAATTGGTACCAATTTTGTAATTGATAAATGGTACCACTATAATCTCTTGGTACCACTTGAGAATTAATTACATTTAACGGTACCAGAAGATAATTTTTTGGTACCAACAACTTAAAAAAATAATAATAACATCAGTGGAATTTTGTGTCAGCTTAAAATAAATTACATTTCCAGGGTTGCCTCAAAAAATTAATTTTGTTTTCCCCTGATTTCCAGACTTTTTCCTGACTGATTTTGACTTTTTCCCTGACCCTAAACAATATTCTGATTCACTCTAAAAAATGTAATATACTAAAAAAAATGTTCTATTACATTCAGTTACAAATTGTTTCAAAAGTAAAATTATTCCAAAATATCAATAACTTCCTTTAAAAAATATTTAATAATTATTATTTTTTACTAGGAATTAAGTTATCAAAAATTTTAAATTCAAACCTTTATGAAATTCAATAACTTATAATTTATTTATTCAAATCTAATAATTTGAATTTCCATAGAAAAAATTATTTACAAAAATTTTAATAAAATCCTTCGCAAGAATTCAATTATTTTTACAAGAAATAAAATTTTTTACATGAATTTAATTATTTAAAAAAATGTACTAAAATTCATTGCAAGAATAAAAATTATTTTCACAAATAATAAAATTCTTTACATTATTTTAATTATTTAGAAAAATTAATAAAATTCGTTGTAAGAATTCAATTATTATCAAAAGTAAAAAAATTCTTCAGAGGTTTTCAATTATTTAAAAAAATGTAATAAAAATTCGTTGCAAGAATTCAATTACAATTTTCTTATTTAATAAAATTCTTCAGAGGTTTTCAATTATTTAAAAAAATGTAATAAAAATTCGTTGCAAGAATTCAATTATTTTCTTATTTAATAAAATTCCGTGTAGAAATTCAATTATTTAAAAAAAAATTGGATAAAATTTGTTGTAAGTATTTAATTATTTTTGCAAATAATAAAATTCTTCAGAGGTTTTCAATTATTTTAAACAACTCGAATAATTATTTTTAAAATTTTTATTAAAATAGATATTAAAAATAATTGAATTAAGAAGAATTTTTAAAAATAATTGTAATTTTGTCAAGAATTTTACCAAAATTTTAGAAAACAAGTGAATTTTCAAGAAGAATTTTATTTTTTTTAATAAAAATTAAATTTTTTCCAGTATTTTAATAAAAATCTAATTGATAATTGCATTAAGTGGTACCATTTGAAAACGAATTATAATAATTGGTACCAGTTGATAATTCTATCGAGTGGCACCAGTTGAAAACGACTTATAATAATTGGTACCACTTGATATTTAATTATATCGAGTGGTACCAGTTGGAAACGATTTATAATAATTGGTACCAGTTGATAATTAAATATATCGAGTGGTACCAGTTGAGAACGACTTATAATAATTGGTACCAGTTGTTGGAAACGATTTATAATAATGGATACTACTTGATATTTAATTATATCGAGTGGTACCGGTTGAGAACGACTTATAATAATTGGTACCAGTTGTTGGAAACGATTTATAATAATTGTTACCACTTGATATTTAATTATATCGAGTGGTACCAGTTGGAAACGATTTATAATAATTGGTACCAGTTGATAATTAAATATATCGAGTGGTACCAGTTGAGAACGACTTATAATAATTGGTACCAGTTGTTGGAAACGATTTATAATAATGGATACCACTTGATATTTAATTATATCGAGTGGTACCAGTTGAGAACGACTTATAATAATTGGTACCAGTTGTTGGAAACGATTTATAATAATTGTTACCACTTGATATTTAATTATATCGAGTGGTACCAGTTGGAAACGATTTATAATAATTGGTACCAGTTGATAATTAAATATATCCTGTGGTACCAGTTGGAAACGATTTATAATAATTGGTACCAGTTGATAATTAATTACATCGGGTGGTACCAGTTGAAAACGATTTATAATAATTGGTACCAGTTGATAATTAATTACATCGAGTGGTACCAGTTTGAAACGATTTACAATAATTGGTACCAGTTGATAATTAATTATATCGAGTGGTACCAGTTGTTGGAAACGATTTATAATAATTGGTACCAGTTGATAATTAATTACATCGAGTGGTACCAGTTGGAAACGAATTATAATAATTGGTACCAGTTG